GGGTACACATAGTAAACGGAAAATATAGAGGGTACAGAAGATACAGCGTATACATGGAAAACAGAAAAAAAGAAGATACAGAGTATACATGGGATACATTAAATACAACAGATACAGGAGTTGCAATATAGGATACAAGGGAAACCGTTTATTTAAAGGGATAAAGAAGAGACAAGAGGATAAAAGTATACATGGGATACACAAGATACAAATGATTCAGGTGATACTGGGGAAACATTGGATATAAGAGATATTGGGGAAATATAGGATACAGGATAATAAAGGATACAAAAGACACTGAGGATAAAGGTATGCATAGGAAACAGAAGATACAGAGGGTACAGGGCACACAGAGGATGCAGGGGTTTAGCATTTTGCCTGTTGATAGCTTGGTGATTTGAAGAAATTGTTAAATTTATTTTATTTTCTGTTGATTTTATTTTTGTATTATTTCATAGATTGAGAAGTTTGATAAATAAAGGATTTTAGCTGGTTAGTAATACATTCTTCATACATTGGGTTAGTAATACATTATTTACACATTGAGTTAGTAATACATTTTTTACACATTGGGTTAGTAATACATTCTTTATACATTGGGTTAATAATACATTCTTTACACATTGGGTTAGTAATACATTATTTATACATTGGGTTAGTAATAGATTCTTTATACATTGGGTTAGGAATACATTCTTTATACATTGGGTTAGTAATACATTCTTTATACATTGGGTTAGGAATACATCCTTTATTTATTGGGTTAGTAATACATCCTTTATATATTGGGTTAGTAATGGATTCTTTATACATTGGGTTAGTAATACATTCTTTATACATTGGATTAGTAATACATTCTTTATACATTGGGTTAGGAATACATCCTTTATTTATTGGGTTATTAATACATCCTTTATATATTGGGTTAGTAATACATCCTTTATTTATTGGGTTAGTAATACATCCTTTATACCTTGGGTTAGTAATACATCCTTTATATATTGGGTTACTAATACATCCTTTATACATTGGGTTAGTAATACATCCTTTATATATTGGGTTAGTAATACATCCTTTATATATTGGGTTAGTATAATACATCCTTTATACATTGGGTTAGTAATACATCCTTTATATATTGGGTTAGTAATAAATTCTTTATACATTGGGTTAGTAATACATCCTTTATATATTGGGTTAGTAATACATCTTTTAAACATTGGGTTAGTAATACATTTTTTATACATTGGGTTAGTAATACATTTTTTATACATTGGGTTATTAATACATCCTATATGCATTTAAGTCTATTATGTGCTAGGTGTGTTGAAAATGATAAGGAAGATAATAAATCTTTTGATGAACAAAGACTGCAGAAATGTGCATTTTCTAAAAATTCATTAAAGTAGGGAACAGAAAGAACAGAAGGAAATCTAAAAAAATTTGATTGATTGTAGAGAATGTAACAATCAATGCACCAGGATAGAATTAATACAAGACTAAAGGAACTGAGTAATATCTCAAATTCCAAATCGTAATTTATATTTTTGCAATTGGGGTTTCCATGCGCAAAAACGTTTATTCAATTTCAGGAAAGTTTGGCCAAATCTTAAAGATTTATTTGAATAATAATGAAAATAATCATAATATAATTTGTTTATATATTAATTATCGAAAACTAGCCTTTGAGAAACGTATAACTATTGCTATACATGATGCAAGCTTTTGTGAAAAAATAAATTTAGAATTTATTTAAATAAGTTAGTTTCCGTTTCTTTTTGCGCAATTGCAAATGGAAACCCTATTTGCAATCTAATAGCGTAAACATCTGGTATTTTATAGTTTAACTATTCAATCTAGCGGAATTAATAGTTTGATTCTGGTTTCGAGAAAGGGAAGAATTAGCTTTACCTTTTCCAGATCCCTGCCCAACAAGAGGAGAAAGAAGAGAAAGAGAAAGAGGAGACAATTAAAACCATTCTCTCAATCCTTTTCCGGGCCCCAGGAAACCCAGCAGTCTAAGGTGAGGTCCCAAGAGTCTCCCTGGACAGTTGATCCACAGTCCCAAGTTAGATTCCAGGAGAACACCAAGTCCCTGTCAAATTCCGAGGACGGGTCCCAGAGAAACCACCAGTCAAAAGAGAGGTCCCACGAACCCCCCAGCCTGTTGAGAGGTCCCTAAGATCCCCCCAGTCTAGGGAGAGGTCCCCCAAGAACCGTCAAGCCTGTGTAGAGGTCTCTAGTTTCCCCCAGTCTAAGTAGAGGTCCCAAAGTCCAGTCTGATGAAAGGTGTCTGAGAACCATCCAGCCTGGAGAGAGGTTCCTTAGAACCCCCCCAGCCGAGGAGATGTCCCTGAGTATCATCCCGCCTGGGGGGTGAGGTACCTGAGTAGTACTTCTCTGACAAAGGAGAGGGCCCTAAAAACCCACCAGCCCATGGATTCTGATCCTTAAACTAAACCCTATCCTAGACCTAACTCTAATCCTGAGCCTGAAACTGAACCTCATCCTCGCCCTGAACCTAACCCTAATCCTGTGCCTGTCCCTGAGCCTGAACCAGTCCTTACAAAGGTGCACCTTATACCTTTTTCATTGAAATTGGCATATATTATGAAATCCATGAAAATGTAATGCTATATCTTGTAATGTAATGTAAACCCGTTAAAATCCTTAAATGTATTAGCAAAGAATAAATGTTTAGATTTAAAGTTTGATATGACAAATGTGTTCAAAGCTAGAAATTATAAGATTTGTGACTTGACCTTCAAAAACTATGCAAAAAAACTTTTAAAAAAACAAATTAAAAATTAATCATTGTGAAGCGTGTCGATGTCTTTGTACAAACACGTGGAATTTAGTAGAAATTATTTGTTATCCATTCTGTTATTTGCTACAGTGATAACCATAAATCTCTGAAATAGGACGACGACTTGTATACACAAATTATGACTTTAAATAATCCATTAAACATTAGACACAGCAATTTAGGATTGTAAACAGACCCATTTAAATTAATAAGTTATAAGATTAGTAACTAGTGAGACTATTTGCTTTGTACAGCGTAAATTACACTTAACTATTGCTTAAATTTCGTCTTCCTTCCACAGTTTTCTGTCTCTCCCTGTATGTTTTCTGAGATCTAAGTACAAGGATTGCAATAGGTTTTCTATAAACTATCTGCCCTGTGGTGCATTCTTGTCCAGTGTTCACACCTAGTTGGGGAGAAGTAAATTTGAAAATGCAAAACAAAGTTAGATAAAACCCATTCTAATTCATCAGGGCAGAGAAGATAGATGGATTCAACGGAACAATGGAAATTCAGGATCAGAGATAGATTCCATTAGGATACGCAGTAGATTCCAATATAATACGCAGGTGTAGATTCCATCTGTATACGCAGGTGTAGATTCCACTAAGTATACGCTGCAGTTGATTCCATTAATTATACGCAGCAGTTGATTCAATTAATTATACGCAGCAATTGATTTTATTATGATATACAGATGTTAACTCCATTAAGTATAACGATAAAGATTTCATTAGGATACGCAGTAATATATTCAATTAAGATACGCAGTAAAAAGTAAAGATTTCATTTAAATACACAGTAATATATTCCATTAAGGTACGCGGTTGTAGAGTTCATTAGGATAGGCATACAGATAAAATGATGGATTCCATTTTGCCTAAAGAAATATATTTACCAGCTGGTAATAATTGATTCCATTGGATCTGTAGAAACTGGTTCCATCATATTAGAAGACATATATGTCATTTGTTTTACTAATGAATATTATATTTTTGCTGATCTGTAATTGACAGTAAAAAGTCCAAAGGAATAGATTCCATCAGATCTGCAGTAATGGTTTACAATAAAAAATGGAACCATAATTTTGACTCATATTTGCCATAGCAACACATATAAAATTATCTGCTGCAAATGTGGACGCACTATAAGGAGAGATTAATGAAAGACATACAGCTTTTTTTATGACTAAATTAGATCTACAGGGTGGCTTACACAATTTCATAGGGGTAAATAATTGAATATGAAAAAGTTTTATTTTTGGTAATTTTTACGTTATAACCCGGAGACAGCTGGGAGGTGGAATTTTTGTTAATCCATTTAAACATTCAGGTGGGGGGAGGACACTGAATGTTTAAATATTGAGGGGGAGTGTCCTCCTCCCCTGAATGTTCAAATATGGAGGGGGAGTGTCCTATCCCCCCCTCTGAATGTTTAAATATTTAGCGGGAGTGTCCTACCCCCCCTGAATGTTTAAATATTTAGGGGGAGTGTCCTCCCCCCCTGACTGTTTAAATATTGAGGGGGAGTAACCTCCCCCCCTCCTGAATGTTTAAATATTTAGGGGGAGTGTCCTCCCCCCCTGAATGTTTAAATATTTAGGGGGAGTGTCCTCCCCCCCCCCCCTCTAAATGTATAATGCACGTGAAAGAGTTCTATTGAACTGAAAGTAGAAAATGTCAGAATTAAATTCTCCTTTTCACATCTCCATATAGGTTTAACAAACCCTTCTTTCCTATGTTAGGTACTTTCCCAAAGGATTTTTCTCAAGTGGCAACTTCTCAATGGTATTTTCCCAAGTGGTGACTTCCCAAATGTGCAGTTTCCCAAGCGGCAACTTCTCAATCTGTCATAGCCGAAGCGCTCGGCCCTATTGCAGCCTGTGGTAACTCAGAGTGTCTAACCTAACCTCAGGGAAATTGCACATTTGGCAAATTATTACTTGGGAAAATATCCTTAGGAAGTTGCCACTTGGGAAAAATCCTTTGAGAAAGTACCTAACATCTAATCTTCATACTATTTCAATTAATTTCGGTTAATTTTTTTTCATTTACAATTGAAAATTTTACAGTTGCACTTGCGTGTTAAAATTGCACTGAGTTCATTTTTTGTTATTGCTCTAACAAAAATTAAAATGGTGGAAATAAAGATCAATAATATTTTTTATAATTCTTATTCAAAGGTTCCTTTTCCCTAATTTTAAAATTGCAGATTTTAAAGTCTTTGATAAAAATCATTAACATGTAGATATTTTAGAATACTTCATTTATTATTACATACATTTATTTTCCCCGCTTTAGTGCAACTTATCCAGTGTGTGGGGGGGGGGATGGCCCTATGTTTTTACACGCCACAATACAGTTTTTCCTGCTTTATTGCAAATGCCTATTTACTTGCAAAGAAACAATCCACTTTAATGCCCACTAGAATTTTCTTATTTACATCAAGTTAAAGAAAAAATGTAGTTCCCAATATATCAATTATTTGACATATTTTAACCCATTAAGCCAATAACTTTCTTCCTAAACCCTAAGTCCAAAAAGCAATTCTAAAGTTTGTATTTTATGGATATTAACTGCAGAATAGTTGCTCTACACCTAGAGATGGGCATCTATTAACTGCAGAATAGTTGCTCTACACCTAGAGTTGGGCATCGTCAAGGGCTTTATTTTTAAACATTCAGATTCGGTGTTTACTTTAAAGGAATTGTAAGGGTAATTTCAACTGACCCTCTATGCAAAGACGACAACGCTCTATTCACAACGATTCCCTTAAAAGCTTTGTCTGATCAAGTATGCATTAGATATCAAAGTTTTTAATTTGATAACTGATTATTTTCAATTGTGGCGGTTTCAAGGTATAGCGTTATGAATCAGACATTGCCATCTTTACATTCTCTATGGAATTGCTTTAATTACATTATGCTAAACTTTTACTCTAACAATTCACAAAAGATATTAACAAAACGATTTTTAAAACTATTTTTACAATTGTTTTTATTTTCCTTTTAGATAATATATCTTATGTCAGAATAAAAATGTAGCAAAATTTATCAATTTGAATGCGTGGAAAACCGAAGCCACCGTTGCCCCAGATCCTGGTTTAGATTCAAGCCAATAGGCATAAACCACGGCTTAGAAGGAGAAAATAGTATTGGTCTGGGCTAAAACAGGAATAGAGCAGTATTTACAAAGAGTCTGAAGTCAGAAGATTAATTCGTCGTACAAGGCAAATTATTCTGTTTAATTATAAAACATCGATTTCTCAATTGGATCCTACAACAAAAAATGTGCGGTTCAAAGCAGGGAAGCTATTGCTCCCTCGCAGCAAATAAAAACTAACTTAAAGTTCTAGGTGTGGTGACCTAAAAAAATGCAAGTAGACAGAATGTGCAGCGCTGGGGCTGCAATTACAATTAAGCAAAACAAACAAAAACAGAGAGGAAGACATCTATTCAATGAAAGGGTGATCGTGCACTGTCTTATAATGAAGCAAAGACAGCGACTTGTAAACATTCTTTCAAAAGCAGCGCCATAAATGGACGGGCAAAGGGAAACAAGAAAAAGCGAACCTGCAGACGTGCAGACGAAGAAAGGAGAAAAAGATGAACATTTGAAATTATTATATATGCCTCGTACCATTTAATTTCATAAAAATTATAAAAAAAAATTGTAAAACACTTGTAAAAATGAAAACATCGATTAAATGTTATCCTAAATTTCGAGGTTTTCTGTAAAAGAAGAGAAAATAGGCGAGGAAGAAAGTTTAAAGAATCCTTGGAAAGAAATAAATCCTAATTCCCGAGTTCAAGTCGAGAAAGGGTTTCTCATTTTCCAATACATATATCTTATATTGGGTACCGTCCAGGATCCAGGATCCAGGAGCTGACAAATCCATCTGAAAAACTGGATTACAAAACCAATATAAAAAGAGTAAATAAGATGTGGGAAAATAGGAATACAGGGACCTTGAGAACGATTTTTTGACCCCCCCTGCTCCTTATGTTTTTTTAAAATGAAAGATTTATTATTATTATAACTTTTACTCTCAATTATCATTATTAATTTGTTGAGAAATTTTTGTTTAAGGACATAAATAAAGATTACATATATTAGATATTTATAAGCATTTTTTCACTTTTTTTACTGAATAAATGTTTCTTGTAAGTCTTGTCTAGAGTTTTAGGAAAAGGACACCCCACGATAACCTTTGAACAAAGTTCCAGGTCTCCACTCAGTATTTAATTATCGTACAGTGGTATACAGAAAACAGTGCAATTCTAGTCTTCGTTCTTTTTTTGTTTAGAATATAGCTGGGGATGTTATAATTTTCAATTTTAATAACTTAATACTAACATATTTTAGAAGTATTCAGAGCTGGGCAATCTTGAATCGTGGATATCGAGATCAAGCATTGATTAATTTAATCTTCCATATTCCATGTCCTGTAAATAGTGTCGTCTGTGAAAAATGAACAGCCAATCAGAAGCTAGGGAATTTTGCGTTCAACCAATGATATAACAGAGAAATTGCAGATATAGAAAATCAAGAGACAAAGCAGATTCTGCGTAGAATTCAAACGTTCCTACTGTGGATATCGAGATCAAGCGATTGGGATTATTGGTAACCAATTTAAAAGTTCCCAGCTCAGGCCACATTTTTCGAAATACTCAGTTGAAAATTATAAAATATAAAAGGATGGACATATATTTTAAATAATTGCGTATAGGTAATCAACCCTTTTTACAGTGGTTCTACAAGAGCTCCCCTTTTACTTTCGTATTTTTCTCCCTCTCCTCTAATACCGTCCCACCCAAGAGCTGCGATTCACCGGTTCGGCCCAATTCCAAGAAAGCTGTGACTTTCGATCACAATTTGACCAGGATCCACTGGGTGACTGGACCAGTTATTCTGTCAGGTCTCAAGGTTTTGTCAAGTAAGTAACCTTTATTTACTCCCTTTGAAAAAGAAGTTCTTTTCCCAATCCTTCAAATAACAGTGTACGCTGAAAAATGAGAAAACTCCATTCACCGTGTTTGAATAATGGATCTGAATGTCGTCCTCCAGTGGAAAATTCTGGGTATCTTGGATAGATACAATCGGAAAATGGGAAAAAATTATACAAATTACAATTGCAACCTTTCACTCAAATTTTTCAAATATATCAGGTTATTCTACGTTGATTACATATGATTGACAATCGCACATTTAACATATTACAAGGTTAAAAAAATTGTTGCATAAGTTTGTTACTGATTTAAACATTTTTATTAAAAGAAGCATTTTTAAAAATGGCACTAACAATAGGAAAAACTCAAACTACTTTGAATTGCACTGGCATTGACTTTAGATATTATTGTCTAAATAAAATTGCTTATATACAGGGCTACCCACAAAGGATAAAACTTTAATGATAAGTGAAAACAAACTAAATCTTGAAATGGTTCCAATGTGCAAGATCTAAAACGGTATTTTTAATGAATTTCAAAGAAAGGAACGAGTCTACAAATGACCGGGCACCAATGATGTATGAAAAAATACAGAGTAAATTCCTCACAGTCGTATTAAAAGTCCCTTCAGTGCAGGGTTTCCACGAAATGGCTAAATCTTTTGCGCAAAATTTGCGCTATTTTCGCGCAAATTTTTTTTGCGAACTTTTGGCTATTTTTGCGCATGAAACGCAATGAGTTTTGCGCAAAACCGCAAGTTTTACGCAATATGTAACTGTTTAGGCAAATTGTCAAAAATTGATATTCAAAGCTTGTGAAACTTGGCAATATTTTAATCCTATTAAATAATTTCAAGTGACCCTTAAAAGCTTTGCCTAATCAAGTATGAATTATATTCTTAAATTTTTTTAATCAAATTTCTGAAATCTTTTTGATCTCATATAAAATAATGCAAGAAAGTAACCAACGCCTGAAGAATCCACTTTTAGGAAATATGCATGTCCAAAACTAAAATTGTCGAGAAAATTGTCATTGGTCAAAATTATGTAAAAGTGACCAATAGGAAGACATTCCAAAACAAGATTTTCCAGAATTGAATTCTAAGAAACACACACGTCGTCACCAACCGTTTAATTTTTAAGAAATTGCGGAATTGCGCAAAACTCTAGTTGCGGTATTGCGCAAAACTTGAGTTTCGCAAAAGCGGAATAGGGAAATTTTGCGCGAAATGACTTTTGCGAATGATTGCGCAAATTGTTGTTTTTTCGCGCAAAACTGATGCGCAAAGAAAGAAAAATTTTGCGTTTCGTTCCACAAAAATTGCGCAAAAGTTTTGCGAATGGAAACCCTACTTCAGTGGGTAACCCTGTATATCTATTTTCTTCTGTTTTATGATTTAAAAGTTTTGCTTAGGATCACTTTGTGATATTTATGTTAGTGTATATTCTGATAACATGTGTCTATGCTGACCGTCGGGGCCTGAATCAGGGGGGGGGAGGCTGAGACCCAATAGCCCTCCCCCTCTGTGTACGCCTCTGATGTTGACCTTGTTTTTGTGCTGTGTTTAATTATTCACTTGTCTGGTATTTTGTAAAAGTTTTAATATATTTAATACAAAAGTTTTACAGTCCAATATAACTTTCCCAGAAAGCTCAATTCTTAAAATATACATTTTTTTATAAATGGATTAATTTTTTTCAATGTTTAGGAACTTCAGAAAAGTTTTTCTGTAAGTTCATTGTAGGTTGTATGTATGATCATATCTGTTTATTTATACAGTAACCACGGTTTCAAGCTTTCTCCAACCTTTCCATCCAACTATCCATCTATCTATCCAATCCTCTATCTATCTATCCCTCTATTCTTCCCTTGCTTTCCCTACATTCCTTCCAATCCTGTTCCAACCGTACAGAAGATAGGAGACTGTAACCAGTATACACCTTCAAGCCAGGTAAAAATACATTTATTATTCTTTTACTCGGAAACCATCAAATCAACTTTAAAAATAAGACGCACTAAACTTATTTCAATTTTTGATTGTCATTAAAAGAAATATTTTTTTTTGTCATAAATGATGTGTGTTTTATACGATTTCAATCCAAGTGTCGTATTAAGCCGGAGAAAGGAAGTAATACGTATGACTATTGTATTACCATGGTAGTAACAATGGTCATCGAGGGTTGTTGAAGGAGAAGAGAAAGGGGGAGAGAAGAAAACTAGTTTTAGGGGTAAAAAGAAGAAAACTGAATCATTTATATAGAAATATCATACAGTTCAGATAAATTCGTCTAATCTCAGACAATTAAAATTTGAAATATTGATTAAGTTATACTGATAGTTTCTGCTGTATCTGAAAGGTATAGAAATATTTTTCATGAGTACCAGAGCTAGGAGATCATTGACAATTCTGAGATCGGAACTTTTTATTTTTATACAGTGAAACCTTTAATAACGAATACATCGGAAGAATTTATCAAATGTTGTCTTGCCAATTTTTCAATGAGTTTTATACTATACTACGTAATCTTCAGTATTTGCGAAAATAAATAAATAGTCATGAATATGCGGAACAGTTTTAAAGAGTTCCATATAATCATTTAATTAAAAAACTAAATATCTGCAACATTCCATTATCAGGAAGTGAAGAATACGACATTTGATGAATTCTTTCGATGTATTCGTTATTAAGGGTTTCACTGTATATAATTTCAAGTGACCCGTCATGCAAAGATGGCAATTCCCGATTCACAATAGTACCCTTAAAAGCTTTGTCTGATCAAGTATGAATTAAATGTGAATGTTTATAATTTTGAAAACTGTTTATTTTCCATTCGGGGTTTTCTACAAATGTGACTTGAGCATGAAATCATACAGGAATTATGAGAAATAAACACTTCCAAACCCCGAGAAACGACAATATCTTCCACATTATTGATCAGATAAAAGTTTCAAGAGTACCTTTGTGAATCAGACATTGCCATTTTGGCATGGAGGGTCACTTAGAGTCTCTTTAAATCCTTTCAGCCTAACAGAAATTTCAAGTTTGTTACTATTTAAAGATTATCATAATTCAGGATTGCTTCAAGTTAAACGTTTCTGCCGTGGATATCAAGTTAACGCATCGTAGATTAAAAAGATTTTACCTCGAGAAATTAATCTTTCACTCCTATAAAGCCTTTATTTGTTGTGTGCATTGTGCAATAATGTATGGCTTGTACTTTCCTTCAATATCACATGATGAGAGACCTAGATTATTTTGGGAGTAAGCTAAGTATTTAATATTACATGAGAGAGCTGAACTAAGCTAAGACTTATGTTTATTTACAAACAAAAAAATATAAAATTAAGGATAGTTTTTGATAGTACTTGTTGTGTTCAGAAACCATCATAAAACAATTTTGAAGTAATGATTAAGATGTGAAGGGGGGGGGGTGAGGAGGGAGAGGGGAGGGGGGAGATTAGGAAATTACGCGGGAAATGAAACTATTCCCTAAACTATTCTCTCTGTTCATTCTTAATTCTAACCTTCATATACAAGATTATTAAACAAAGATCAAAAACATAATAAATCCAAGAGCAAAAATAAGCTACAAAAATAATTAATAAACAAAGAACAAGCAAGATTATCAATTTACCATAACATGATTTTTTAAACAAAGATAAACTAAGATTATTAAACAAACCAAGATTATTTGACAAAGATAAAACAAGAATATCGAACAAAGTTCCTGAAAGATTATTGAACAAGGAACAACCAAGAGAATATTAAACAAAGATCAAACAAACTTGTCAATCAAACTCAGCCAAGATTATTGAACAAAGATCAAACAGGATTATTAAACAAAGATCAGCCAAGATTATTGAACAAAAATCAAACAGGATTATTGAACAAAGATCTAACAAGCTTGTTAATGAAAGATCATCCAAGATTATTGAACAAAGATCAAACAGGATTATTGAACAAAGATCTAACAAGCTCATTGAATAATCATAAACTAAGATTATTTAACCAAGATCACACAATATTATTGAAAAAAGATCAACCAAAGATCAGCAAAGCTTAATAAATAAAAATCAACCAAGATAATTGAACAAGGAACTACTAAAATTATTGACCAAAGATCAACCGAGATCAATGAACAAAGTTCAACCAAGATATTTACCAAAGATCAACCAAAGATCAGTCAAGCTTATTTAACAAAATCTGAGGGGAATGTACTAGACCATTTATAAAAACTACCTGGGTTCGGAAGAGGATCGGTGGGGCTGCCTTCCTTCCTCGCTACTCTTTAATACCTTTAACTATATGTCCTATACTGAATAAAATCAATATCAAGCTTATCACCAATAAACCCTAATCACGTTTGTATGATTTCCTGAATAATATCATTGTAATAAATGATTTTAAAGGGATTGCCACTTTCAATTGAGACCCACTTTAAAAAGTCATGGAGAAACAACAATTAAAATATTTAATTTTATGAAAGACAAATAATGATATCTTATTCATCCTTGATCAATTTAGATCTGAAGGGTACTATTGTGAATCGGATCACTCTAAAAATGTAGGGGTTCACTTAAACTTACATCAATATTCCTTAAAGTATATTTGTAGCAAGACTGGAAGTTCTATTCTCTTTATATTGATTAGCTAAAGTACGCGGTTTAAAAGGTTTTTAGAACTGGTTAAATATTGGTTTAGTGGCTCATAAATTCTTTTAGCAATTATTAAATATTTAATCGGTATTTGATTTAAACCATGAATAAATCGTTGATACAATATTTCAGTAATAGACAAGAAGCATGGTAAATAAAACAGCTTGTTTCAATAATATTTTGTTTTTAAAAATATATTTGTAAATATAATATACCTGGCTTCATTGGGTAAACAAAATGGTATCAAATTTAATGCGCTTAATGTTTTTAAACTGCTGGTTAAAATTTTTTTAATAAGGTTTTTTATAACTATTACGCGCTTTACGCAGTTAAATCTGTAGAGTTGTTAAATGCGTTCTTTTCATGTTTTATGTAATAAATGTTTTAATCATAATATCTTGGGCTGCAAGAAATAATTGGGTCAGATTGAAAGGTATTAAAAATAGAATTGAAGTACAAAGAAACTGAGGGCATGCATCAAACTCAAATCTTTTAATATTGTATCTTTTCAACCTGATGTGGAAGACCTTTTATATTTCAAACTACGAATACTGTAAGATTGAATTGTCAAAATTTAAAATAACAAAGGGTTAAATACAGAAATATGAAATTTATCAAATACAGAAATATGAATTGTGATAAATACAGAAATATGAAATATATCAAATGCAGAAAAATGAATTGTGTTAAATACAGAAACTTTAAAATGTGCTTATTACAGAAATATGAATTGTGTTAAACACAGAAATTCTAATTGTGTTAAATACAAAAATATGAATCGTGTAAAACACAGAAATGCTTATTGTGTTAAATACAGAAATATGAAATATATCAAATACAGAAATATGAATTGTGTTAAATGCAAAAATATCAAATATATCAAATGCAGAAATATGAAATATATCAAATACAGAAATATGAAAAATATCAAACTCAGAAATACTTATTGTGTTAAATACAGAAATAAGAATTGTGTTAAGTACAGAAATAGTTATTGTGTTAAATACAGAAATATGAATTTTGTCAAACACAGAAATATGAAAAAAATCAAATACAGAAATATTAATTTTGTGAAACACAGAAATATGAAAAATATCAAATACAGAAATATGAATTGTGTTAAATACAAAAATATCAAATATATCAAATACAGAAATATGAAATATATCGAATTCAGATATATGAAATATATCAAATACAGAAATATGAAATATATCAAATACAGAAATATGAAATATATCAAATACAGAAATATGAAATATATCAAATACAGAAATATGAAAAATATCAAACACAGAAATGCTTATTGTGTTAAATACAGAAATAAGTATTGTGTTAAATACAGAATCATTAAACTGTGCTTATAAAAGTAGTATGTTTTTCTAAAATAGTATGAAATTTTCTAATTCAAATTAAATAAAGTTTTTTTTCCAGAATTTTAAAGTAAATTAAATGGAATAATAAAACTTGTTTTTAGTTCGAATCACTTCTCGTATTGGAATACGAAAATAGAACTTGTGAATGTGGTTGAGAATGGTAAAATGAAACCTGTATTTCATATTTAATATTTGTATATTTACAACATATTTATAAATGTTGAGTGTTGCGTGTGTAGGTAGGGTTTTGTTTTCATGATTTATATCTAGAACCTATAGTATATTGAGTATATCTGAATTTCCAATATTTCTGTTATTCAAAACTAGATCTTGTTACAGGGTTACTCGAAACTATATCTTTTTACAGGGCTACTCAAAACTAGATCTTGTTACAGGATTGATCAAAACTAAATCTTGCTACAGGGTTACTAGCTAAACTAGAACTTGTTACAGGGTTACTAGCTAAACTAGAACTTGTTACAGGGTTACTCTAAGCTAAATCTTGTTACAGGGTTACTCAAAACTAGATTTAATTATAGGGTTCTGACATTGGATCCTGAACATTTCCAAACCCCGCTCACAAGTGACTTTATTTTTTCCCAACCTGTAAGAATACAATGAATATGAACAATCTGGATCAAAAAGCTGCATCGACAATCCGCAAGCATTCCGATACAATATACATCATCAGAGATATTTGACACCTCTGCATGGGACGCACACAGTAACTTTCCTATATAATTAATTAGATATTTATGGCGCATAGATATCAAATCAAAGAATAGTATGAAAAAGAAAATCGCAATGTGCGCAACATTTGGTGGAAAAAAGCAGGAATATGTATAAAAATGCATTTTTCCTTGAAAGCTCAGAAAATTTAAAGAAGGTTTTTGTTCATGTTTACCTTTCATTGTTGTACATGAGATTTAACCCTATACCCCCCCCCAGCGTATCCTGGTTTGCAAGTACCCCAGCAGGGATAGGGTTAAGAGGACCTGCCAACTAATGAGTTTGTTTGAAAAGTTTAATTGTCTAAAAAACTTTTTGTTTATTTAAACTAGAATCCTGGGGGTTTCTTATTTATTGTAAAATTCAAGCAACCTTCATGCTTAATAGTTTTAAATCGTAATATTCTAAATACAACTTTATCTTATTGAAAGTAAGATTGAAATATTATTTTTAATCTTAATTCCGCTCAATGAAGAGCTACTTTGATGAACAGGCATGTTTTGAATTTCTTATATCTAACTGGATAAAGGAATCGAGTTTTCGCCAGAAACTCTGATTTTCTAATCTCTATATTATTGCACCCAATGTCGTAGACCTTTTATATTTCAAACTATGAATTATGTTAGATCAAATAGTTTAGATTCGAAATATCAAGCTTTCAAAATTATTTTTTAACCAGTAATATAAGAAATAAAGAAATGAAAAACTTTCTATCCGTTCTTTTCTTTTTCATTTTATGACAAGAACAAGTTTAACAGCATTATAAAAAATGATTTTTCTCTTCTTTCGTGCGCATCATATTTTTCATTCAATCATCATTTCATCGGAATATCAAATATGGATTCAGAGTAAAAATAAAATTTTTAAAATAAATTAATTCGGATGAAAATATGAAACATCACTTTTCCATCCACTTAAAAGGATTGTCAGATCTATCTCAAACGGGGGTTTAATTGTAATAATTACAAATTTCGGAAAAAATACTTTCTATTAGCCTAGTTGCGCTAATAATTCGTTAAACTGAAAAACGCATTATCGCAACTGTTTTTAAAAGTTGAAAATATCTATTTTTGCAGCTTTTTCCTAAAATAATTTTCTAGAAAGCATAAAGCTAACAATAAACTACACCTTTTTAAAGAGTTCCATATAATCATTTAATTAAAAAACTAAATATCTGCAACATTCCATTATCAGGAAGTGAAGAATACGACATTTGATGAATTCTAATTATACAAACCATAGGAACAACAGTCACGCTAGATTGCAATAGAGGATATTCTAAAATTAGATATGCAGAAACTAAATGGGGAAAAGAGGTGAAGATAAAAGGAAGAATAATTTGAAAAGAAAGATAGAAAAGATAAAAATACGTTTATTTTTAATTGTCGAAATTTTGAAGTAGACATTTCGATAACCATCAGATAGAAGTAAAATCGGGATGCGTTTAAACAGCAAAAAGTCATATTTATAACCCTGGAGTAAGTTTCTAGTCTTCTCTTGAGTTTTGTGAACGAATAACTTTACACTAAAACCAGGGAGTAAGGAATAGAAGGGAGATATAACTGACGCGGTTCGCCCTACCATATGATTATACATGCTTTGCAGACGGGTACTCCATTTATATAAGAGATATTTGTCTGATGTACAATTACCGCGTATACAATAACCTATTTTGAATAATTTTTATACAGATGGAGTACCCGTCTGCAAAGCACGCATTATCATATGGTAGGGCGAACCGCGTCAGTTATATCTGTCTTCTATTCCATACTCCCTGACTAAACCCCACAGTTTCTACGGTCTGTGTGCTGCAGATTATACTGCTGTACGTATCAAAGGTTTATCTTATGGTAGAATGTGTGTTTAATTAAAAGCAAATAATTCCCCTTAATTCACGTGATTCTCTAGATCTGTAAAGACGGAAGCTGTGCGCGGGATAAAGTGACGCAAGTGACGCTTGAGATCGGGATACGCAAGAGTGCGTATGAGTGAGACCAGTTGATCGTTGTTAGTTAGATAATGAGTGTAGTGAACCAGCTAAAACCAAGTATGATATCAAAGGTAAAACTTCTAATATTTCTCAACAATATTAAAGGAACATGTAAGCGTAAGTTAAAGTGACCCTCCGGCCTCCATCCAAAGATGGGAATGTGGGATTTACAGCGGCATTTTCAAAAGAATAAGTATGAATAAGAAATCAATTTTTTTAATATTTAAAACTGTTTTTTATTGTGGTTTCTGTACAGTGTACATATCCTTCCGAAATCATCCTGTAGGAGACAAATATAAATTATCAGATTAGAATGCCAAAATATTTCAAATTGTTGATTAGGTAAAGAGGTTTCAAGAGAACCGTTGTAAATTGGACATTGTCATTTTTGCATGAAGGGTCACTTAAAATTACGCTTACAGACCCTTTACACTTTTTAATGATCTTTATTCTATCATTAAACGTTGTTTATCACAAGGTAAAAGTAGAAGCATAATTTTTATTTTTCTGATATTTTTATCAAATATTCTTAAAATAGTAAACCTAGACGTCAGGCAAGGTCTTAAAGGTTGGAAAGAACAACTAGATTGATGTATTAATAGATATTTTATTATTGATAAAAATATTTGCTCCGGATTATCAATTTTCCGAGAGAAAAAAAAATGTTATCTGTATAATCAAATTTAGGGAAAAACATTTATAATCGGGAGTGATGTGAGTCGGGGATAGAATTATTAAAATGTTTGCTTACTTGAAATTAGTTCTAGAGGAATACCCCCCCCCCCCCTTCAGCCTCTTTAACACTAAAAGGAATGTATCTGCAACCAATAAATTCTAGTGGAAACTGTTCATAGTTGTACTTCAGAATATCTTCTGTTATCTCAAACTGTATCCAATAATATTAGAAAGGAAGGGTATACACCTTCCTCCAATAATATTAGACGGGAAGGATATACTCTCCTCCAATAATGTTAGAAGGGAAGGATATACTTTCATCCAATAATATTAGAAAGTAAGGATCTCAATACTTTAAACCAATAATATTTGTTCGAATGTTTGTTTGTATGTCCGATCATACCTCTAGAACCCTTTGACCGATTTGCCTCAATGTTGTATTGGGGAACTCGGGATATTGTTCTTAGCTTGGTTTTGAGATTCTAAGTTAAGCTGGTCGACTCTTATATTCAAATTTTCAGCTACTACAAATGTAAACAGAAAACAGTCGAATAATTGTCGTCTTCTTTCTTTCCTTTTAAAAATGAAAAAAATACCTACCGACATTCCTGAATTACAAGAAAGAAGTAAAACGACAACTATTCCACAATGTTACCGGTTTTAGAGAATAAGTATATATAAACAAAGAATTATTGTAATAGCTTTGCTGTCTTTATTATAAATTAACTTACTACTATATTTTATATAAATTACCATTTAGGGATATAAGATATCCAGATAAACAAATGAAACACGTTTTTTAGTATGAGTTTTTTAGAACCTTTTAAAGAATTAGTTTTCTTTTTCTACCTTACACATGATTAGAAATCAAGTTAATTTATGATTAGTTGGGTTAAACATGGGTGTCATTTAGTTTATATATCTTCTATATATTGTATATTATATATTATATGTTATATGTATTTTAAAGAATACATCTTTTTTTTGGTAAAAATTGAAAAGTTTAAACCAATAAGTCCACAATATTTCTGCAATTCGATTTATTTAAACTATAAATAAAAATAAAAATCTCGTAAATTCTCTGATGTATTCCTTGTAAACATAAAATGTAATAACATGTAATATAATGTAAAATGTCTTTAAAAAACCTATCGGAAATATAAATATTTAGATCTAAAAAAATGTAACTGTACAATTATGTTGAACTTAGTAAAGCTGAGTAAGTCCGGATGATATTGAATCCTTCATGCATCAGCTATTAAACTAAGCTGATGAATGACCTATAGACTTTTTATTCAAAGATAAATTAAAAAAAATAGCATTTAATAATAAAGGAATATTCTTTTAATATTATTAATTTTCTTATTCCGTTAAAGATGTGTGAACTACCAAGAAAATAATTCAAAAGGTTTTTTATAAAAAAATTTTTTTTTTAAATTAAGGTTTACGAAACAATCTTTTAACTAGGAACATACGCCAATTAGTATATTTTAAGCCTCGAATATATTCAGAGAAATATCAATTATAACAGTAACAAAAGGAAATGAGTTATTGTCACAAACTCTGATTTTCTAATCCCTATATATGATTAATATTTTCTAATCCCTATATCTAATTAATATTTTCTAATCCCTATATCTAAACGACCAAATTTTGTAGACTTTAGATATTTCAAACTATGAATTCTGTCAGATAAAAAATTTTAATTTCAAATATCAAAGGTTTACACAATCAAGTTGCAAAGATATAAGCATTCGAATATTTCATTGTGTGGCATAGACTCAGTTCCTCTCAAAATCTTGAGCGACATTTCTAACGAAAAATTTAATTTTTGGTTATCACTTCACAAACATATAATTAAAAATTTTCAACTTGTTTTATTGAAAATTGAGTTGATAAGCTGTACCCTGAATTCGTCAATAAAACTGAAATAAATAGATTGAGAATAAATTGTTGTGGTGAGTTCATCTTCTCACGATTTGAATATTCTTATTGTTAAATATCATTGAATTACTTCGTGCATTCATGCTCTAAGTTTTTACGCGAAGGAATTGATTCTTTGCCACAAACTCTTATTTTCTTTATCCTTGCAACCCCAGTGTCATAGGCCTTAGATATTTTAAATTGTGGATTCTGTAAGATCAAATACTCAAAGTTTGAAATATCAAAGGTTTACACCATCAGGTTGAAAAGATATATGGATTAAAAATTTTAGTCTATATCAACGACTCAATTCTTTAACTAAATTATTTAAAATGCTAATCAAAGAAAAGATTCATTAAACTCCGGTTATTTTTTTACTGTACGCTTTGTATCCAACTTTTGTGCCTTCATTTAAAAATGAGATTGTACTTGTCACAATAATCTCACAAAAAGGAGATGATTCCTATGGTTTACAGTCCCGTTTTGCCGTCTATAGTCTATATGCATACCGTACAACTTGTGATGTGATTTACCGTCCTCGATAATTTGTCCACTTAACCTTAGTTTAATGTGATCAATGAAAAATATGTATAATGTTTATCTGTAGAAATAGTTAAACGATACATACATATTTTTTGCGTCCAAAATGCAATTTTATCTGATATAATCAATTTTCTTTTATAATGTATAGTTGCTAACAGCGTAATTTAGTAAGAAGTTGTTTTGTCTACAGTGTGACTTGAATAAATATATATTTGCTTACTTTACATATTTACTTCTGTAACAAAAAATAGTTTAAAATGTTGAATTTAAGCGTATTATATGTTAGGAATGTATTGCAGTGGTATTTACCAGCAATTTGTCGCTATAAACCTCGTCACGGTCTAGGCACAGGATACAGTCATTGTTTTATTCATTACTAACCTAGAACCTAGACACATATACAGATACAGGATACAGTCATTGTTTTATTCATTACTAACCTAGAACCTAGAAACATATACAGATACAGGATACAGTCATTGTTTTATTCATTACTAACAGCTAGACCTATACACATATACAGAATACAGTCATTGTTTTATTCATCTAGAACCTAGACACGCTGAACACTGGGCACTGTTGTGAATCAGACATACCCCTCTTTTTAGATTTGGAGTTACTTGAACCTACAATGACAGTCCCTTTAAACCGTATCTATTCGTATCTTAATTTATAGATATTAAAAAAATCATAAAATAATATATCTATGTTATTTTTACATATCGAATACACAAGTCCGTAACTGTCCATCTAATATCTTTTCTTTGTTCAGCGTGAATACACAAATATGAACGGTCGCGATAAAAACGAAAATGCAAATTGGCAATTTTTAAGGTCGAAACTTTAAATCTGGATACTCGTTAAGCATGCAAAATTATGGTTTCAGGATCTTGCCAATTACTCCTTCACCCCTTGAATGGAAAACAAGAGATTTTAGGCTTTAGATCTTCATTACCCAGGGGCTACAGCTTTATATACATTTGGTAGCTTTGGCTTTTAAAGCTCTGAAGATTTTTTCTGAAGTATTTTGTCTGAAAACATTCTGCGTGAGAAGATGCATATTTTAGTTTAGAGTGGGTTGGGAACCAAGTCATTTTCCGTTTGATCTTTTATGTTAAATTTTTTTTACGTTCAAAATTTTTTATTTATTTTAAGAAGGATAGGCTTTTCAGCTTCGCCCTTTATTAACAAAATTACATAATATCACATTTCTTTACATCATTTTTCGTTGTCCTTTTAAATTTTGTTGCTTTTGCTTACAAAATAAGTTTGAGACTCATTCCCTAACATAAAATTGGAAAGATCATTCTTACATACTATTTCCTATGTTTTCAATTCAAGTAACCCTCCATTCATTACGTGCCATGTCCGATTCACAGTAGTGACCGTAAAAGCTTTGTCTAATAAAGAATAAATTAAACTTTTAAATTTGATTCTTTTTCGATTATGGTTTGCTCTACGCAAGTGACTTGCGGATTTTTGCTACAGAGACAACGGGGGAAATAGTAGAATTGAACACTTGTCAGGCTAGAAAACGCCAATATCTTCATGAATATTGTCTTTCTATACTTTCATTTAACACGAATCCACCGCCTAAAAAAATGTACAACAGAATAAGTTAACATTTGAATAAGTCAAATTGTTTTTGAAAGCCACAGCTTGCCGGGATAATGACCAAACTGTTAAATCACAGCTTGCCGGGATAATGACCAAACTGTTAAATCTGCGTGACGGTGAGATGATATGAACTTAACAAAACTTGGCAGTACGTGTGATATCTTTCTATCTCTTGTATGCATCTATATAATTTAACGGCATTCAGACCTTTAAATGACATTTTACCAACAAATGTGGTTACTCTTTATAAATTTCTAGTGGTTTTTTATAAAGAAAAGATCATGATTTTATAAAAAATATTATCTTCAGAATCTGCAGAAATTTTAATTAAGTTAGTTGCTCGTATGATGGAGGGACTAAATGGTGAAAAAAATTATCTGCTCTCCTGAAGCAAATACCTACGGAATAGATTTCACCAGGTTAAATATAATTTTAATCAAATTACTAATTTTATTTGTCAAATATTTTATTTTTTGTTTTTTTTTAAATAATCCAAATCAGCCCGTGATTCAAATATATTTAAATATCAAAACTTTAAGGAGTTTTGTTGCTCCATTACAGTATCAAATTTTAAAAACATAAAATATTCGTTATTTTTAGATAATTTTTATGTCATTTTTTTATTCTACGAAATAAAATCAGAAATAAGGTAAATATATGTACTTTGAAATCCATAATCTATATAATAAAGCTTTTATATATTTTCATTTGTCAGCTATAACTGGCCAAATAACTGGACCAAATTGGCTAACATTTCTTGAGGGAATCCAGGGGTAACATAGGCTAAAAAATCGATTTAGAATCGAATGGAACCTTTTAAAAAAAATTAAACGTTTTTTCAATTTTTTAAAAATATTTCCCGGGCAACGCCGGGCACTTCTATATATCTAAAAACAGAAATACAGAGATTATCAGATCTACCGAAGTTGCCTTTTTAAAGCAGAATTATTTATTGTTTGTAAATTTTTTTCCACGAAAAAAGCGTCTCCTTTTCTTCCTAAGCAATCAATTTTAAAATTATTAACTGTATCTGTGGCGCAATATTAATGGTTAACAATTTACGTAGTTCAGTGAATGATATTGATTAATTAATAAACGTTTCAAATCTTTTTAAAAGTCCGACCTTTTAATTCCGAGTTAACAGATAACTTTAAGCCTCAGAGCAAGAAGAGGAAAAGGGTAGTTGGGAAGACTTCAGCATTTAGAATTCAGCATTGAACTAATGTCGTCTTCCTAGTCCTACATTTTTCTTGTTTCACTCTATATACTTTAATTTTTATTTTATATTTCAGGTTTAAGATCCGGGATATAGAGACAGGAACTACACTCTTTGAGATTGCTAAACCTGTGTATGGCGGTGGAGAGGATGAGGAGGACGGAGAAGGACCTGGAGAGGACCCGGAGCAGGATCCTAATGCAGGACGGTTTGTGAGATATCAGTTCACTTCCCAGGTATTTTATTTATCAATGAGTTGACAGAGTCCAGTGCGATGCATCAATTAATCAATAAATAAAAGCTCTTACACAAAAATCAGTATCAAGGTTACAAATAGGTATAAATGAGATTGTGAGGTAAAACTAAATGCCAAGACGTTGTGACACTTCAAAGTCGACACGGTCTATAAATTTGATGCATCTCTTTGAGAAGTTGAAGCACATCGGCGTTGTTAAACCCAACCTTTTCAAAGTCAAAAAACCTTTAAAGGTTTTTAGAAAAGACAACAAGATATTCCTCATAATAAGTTCACAAAAAATGTCAGCCCCTACGGTCCAGCCGTTTGGCCGACAAAAGGGAACATATATACGAGTGTCATGTTTTTTTTATATAGATAACATAAAACAAATTTCAAAATCTGTCATAGATAAAAAAAATGGAATTGGACAATTATTCCACAGTTTTCTGGCAATCCCTGTATACTTTTCACAAAGAATCTTCAATAATGATCTGGATAATTAACTTAGTTTTGCAGATTAAATATAATCTTGTAAATGCTAATAAATGATGTGGAAAGCGAAGAGATAATGAAGAATAACTGGAGGAATCTTTGACGTACAGATCCAGACAGTTATGAAACTTATGCATCAACTTTCAAGACGGGGTCAACTTTGAAGCGTCCAAACACCTTGGTCTTTGTTGTTAATCATACTTTATCAACTTTTTGTAGCCCTGAACATGTACATTTTATGACTGCAACTGCAATGGTTTAAAATAAGAAATTTGAAAAAAAAAACTGTGTTTAATTTAAGCGATAAAACATAAAATCATTTGTGTATTTAAAGTTAAAGAACTCATTTAATTAAAACAACTATTTTTTTTATTATTTCTAAAAATATATATTTTAGAATAATAATTTTTATAAATGAGACTAAAAAATAAAAACTGGTTTGGAGAGAAAAGAATAAAACGAATTTCTACAAAACTAATGAATTATTTAATGAATAATGAAAATTTTAGAGAATTTTTTCAGTGTCTGACAGAGAATTTAAATTATAAAGACATTTTATTTTATTTAAAACTCTAATTTTTAAAATTGTAACAGGAGTATTATAGTTAATAAATATTAATATTATTTTGTTTAGTTTCTGAAGCTGAAAACTGTTGGAGCAACTGTAGAGTTCTCGGTTGGTTCTAAGCCTGTCAAGGAATATTTTCAAAAATATTCAAAATTTCAAATCTTAATTTTAGCAGAGTGCGAAGCAATAATAGTAATAATAAGTTAAAATAGAATGTTGTTAAAAAAATATCTCCGTCAAATTTTAAAACACAAATAAGGAACGTAGAAGACTACATTTTGAAATGCTCAACAACGTACAATATCCATCATATGTAATTATGTACAATGTACATATGTACAACCAAGAAATTTTTTATTTTTTAATTAAAATTTGAAATTTGAATTTTGAACATTGCTTATGTAGAACTTTCGAATGATCGAGCGGCACTTCTTTCGGGATCGTCACCTAAAAACCTTCGATTTTGATTTTGGATTCTGCATACCCAACAGTAAGAACACTTGCGAGCATATTTACGAGTTTCCAATCCTTGACAAGAAGACAATTGATCTGATGGTCGCACATCCTTTCGACACAAGATCCGACAGTTTTTACTTCGTCGACAATGAGCTTATAATGCACAACAAGGCCGACTATGCCTACAACGGGTCCGTCGACTCAAGATAAACATTTCCAATAACACAGCGTTGATCAAACTCCTAGGTTTACAATAATGCTATTGAATGTATCTTATTGTATTTGCTTTAATGTGTACAAAGACGACTTTTAATCACGGTTTTATGTTTTAAATCTAGGAAATATTCATGATAATCAAAACATCTGTGAAAGTTTGAATCTGTGATTATAAGAATGAAAAATTGGAAAATACTCAAGAATTTAAATATATAATTTAACAACTTAAGAATTGCAATATTTATACAGAGTTCATTCTACAGTACATTGCAAAGAGCATGTACAATGTAAAATGTACATCATTTTATTTATATTGATGGTTGCAGTGTGATTAGTATAAAAATGCTCGGATTGAAAAATATTTTAGAAATAATTGTAATTTACGAAATGTAACTAAGAATTTAGTAAACATGAAATATGTCACAAATTCACGGTAGAAAAAATAATCTACATCCACTACCCCCTCCCCCCCCCCCCCCCCCACCTTCACCACCAAATTTTTAAAATTTTGCTGTTTCAATAAATAAATTTAAACTCTTTAAATGTTTATTCTTCATGATTTTCAAGTAAGCAGCTGAAGAGAGAGACTCAATAAATAATAAATGATTTGTGGCAAAAGACAGTAGTTGATGCAATAGCTTCAATTAATAATTATTTTCGGTTTTTAAAAAAAATCTTATTCTTAGTCATAGTTTAAATATCAAAGATTTCAATCGTAAGGTTGCAAAGATATAAAGATGAGAAAATTATAGTTTGTATTAAATTCCTTTGCAGACGGTTGAGGACACAAGTATCTATGTATTTCTGACATTTCATTTAATCATAAAAAAAATATTACAAACAGTTTGTCTGCCACCATTTTAGCATAAACCCTAGAGTTCCTCGCCTAAAATAGAAGAAAAATTATGTTTAATTAGAAAAGGTAATAACATGAATGAAGTGGTAAAAAGTTGAACTAATTACAATGATCTGAAATCCGCAATGCTTAAAGTGACTGTAAGCCTAATTACCAGTATGCTTAAAGTGACTGTAAGCCTAATTACCAGTATGCTTAAAGGGACTGTAAGCCTAATTACCAGTATGCTTAAAGTGACTGTAAGCCTAATTACCAGTATGCTTAAAGGGACTGTACGCCAAATTACCAGTATGCTTAAAGGGACAGTAAGCTTAATTACCAGTATGCTTAAAGTGACTGTAAGCTTAATTACCAGTATGCTTAAAGTGACTGTAGGCCTAATTACCAGTATGCTTAAAGGGACTGTAAGCCTAATTACCAGTATACTTAATGGGACTGTACGCCAAATTACCAGTATGCTTAAAGGGACTGTAAGACTAATTACCAGTGTGCTTAAAGTGACTGTACGCCTAATTACCAGTATGCTTAAAGTGACTGTAAGCCTTATTACCAGTATGCTTAAAGGGACTATAAGCCTAATTACCAGTGTGCTTAAATTGACTGTAAGCCTAATTACCAGTATGCTTAAAGGGACTGTAAGACTAATTACCAGCATGCTTAAAGTGACTGTACGCCTAATTACCAGTATGCTTAAAGTGACTGTAAATTTAAATGACCCTCCATGCAAAGTTGGCAATTTGTCCGATTTACAACAGAGTCCGAATTTAATTAATTTAAGCCGGGTCTCAAATCCGCATAAAACCGGTTTTAATTGAGCGCCGGCTTAAATCTTAAAACATTGATTACAATTTTAAGTGGAACCAACGATATTTGAGCCGCGTCTCAAATTTAAGCCGCGGGTCAAATTCTTTAAATTCGGCCTCAGTTTCTTTATCTGATCAGTAATGCGGAAGATACCGTCGTTTTCCCCAAGCTTAAACGTTTTTAAATATGATAATGTATATCTGTTTTCTGCAGCATCGAATTGCTTTAAGGGACTGTAAAGGAAAAATGAAAGGGGGTAAAGGCTGAAAGCTAATCACTTTAGCTCTCGATCGCGACCCATGAAAGTTATATCTGATGTTTCAATCTCGAGAAACTGATTTACAACTTTGTCAAAGAAATTGAGTCTTTGCAACAAATCCCATTTTTCTAATAAATATTTATCTACAACCAAATTATGTAAACCTTTGACATTTCAAACTTTGATTGTTTGATATAACAGAAGTCATAGTTTGAAATATCTAAGGTCTACAACATTGGGTTGTTAAGATATAGGGATTTAAAAATCAGAGTTTGTGACAAAGACTCAATTAATATATATACAATTTTGTATAAAAGTAGTGGGTTTAAAAAGATCAAATTCAGAAAATATGCAACCAATCTGAAAACGGTGATATCCCAGAGAAAGCTAATTGTAACTAAGGTTTACTCCAATTCTAATTTTATATTTGTTATTTCTATTTTTTATAGATTTAATTTATAATATTATTTATATGTCCGTATTGCTTGACCAGAAATTCCAGCAATGGCAGTGCAGTAAAGTGGTCACGTGATACAGGCGGAGACACGTGACCAGTATACTGCTCTGCCATTGGTAATAGTTCTGGTCACGTGATTTAAGTTTAAGATTTTCTAAATTGTACATATATGAACTTTCGTATAATTTTAACACAGTTTTATATCAATTTCTCGAGACAGGAACATCAGATTAATTTTTCATGGGTCGCGATCAAGAGCTAAAGTGATTAGCTTTCAGCCTATACCCTCTTTCATTTTTCCTTTACAGTCCCTTTAAGCAATTCTATGCTGCAGAAAACAGATATACATTATCATATTTAAAAACGTTTAAGCTTAGGGAAAACGACGGTATCTTCCGCATTACTGATCAGATAAAGAAACTGAGGCCGAATTTAAAGAATTTGACCCGCGGCTTAAATTACGCTTACACCCCCTTTAAAGGGCTTTCAAGAACATTGGAAAATTCTTCCGATCAACAATGAAGATGGTTAACGTTTATCTAAAAAATATGACGAAAATATTAACTTATCTACAACAAAAATGAATATAAATTATTTCTCAGTAGAACTTAACAAAATGATCCTCTGTGGCATATTGAAAAACTACACGTTATAAGTTTTAATATTTTAATCTACATACAGTAAAAACCAGAAAACTCTTGAATATGAATTTTAGACATAATTTGTTACCAATTTGACTTAAAACGTCATAAAATTACTTACAAGTATTACTTTCTGCCTATTAATCACATAAAAAATATTGCTTAATTGTCGTCTTCCACAATATTTGGTTCTTACTGTATAAAGCGAAAGAAATATTATAAACCTGTTTCCATAAGTCCTGAAGGTGGCGCATTCATCTGAAGTATCTGCTGAACCTGCACCAGCTCGGGTAGTAGAACATCCAGTAGATCCTAGTAGTTCACCATCACTAAATTTTAAAATATATCATATAAGTCTTACTTGAACTTAACTCTAATTCTGAACATGTCCGACATGAAACTAAACCTAAGTCTGAAGAAGTCCTTCCTGAGTTTGGTCAAAACTCTGAATAAGTCCTATATAAACCTACCCTAAGTCTAAGAACAAGTCCTACCTGAACCTGACGCTTAGTCTGAATAAGTTCTACATAAACCGTCTGAATAAGGCATGTCCGAACCTGACGCTAAGTCTGAAAAATTGCTCCCTGTATCTTACTCTAGGTCAGAATAAGTCCTACCTGAACCTGACTCTAAGTCTGAAAAAGTCCTACTTGAATTTGATTCTAAGTCTAAATAGTTCTACTTGACCCTGACTCTAGGCCTGAATTAGTCCTATATGAAACTAACTCTAAGTCTGAATAAGTCCTACTTGGACCTGCCTCTAAGTCTGAATAAGTTCTACCTGAACCTGACTCTAAGTCCTTCTTGAACCTGGCACTGAGTCTGAATAAGTCCTACAAAATCTGAAGTTATAAGTCCTATGTGAACTTGAATCTTAGTCTGAACGGATAAGTCTGAATAAGTCATACCTGAACCTGACTCTAAGTCTAAAGGGTAGGGTTGAAGTACAAATTGTTCTGGCTGCATTCCCTGCACTGTATGTGTAGCCTGGAGCTAAACCTAGAGATTAATTCTAGCAATCTATGGTTTTATTCATTCCTTTTTGTGGAGAAAATTGCCAAAATAATTAATTGTTTATATATCCACAACGCTTTAATCAAAAAGCACTTAAATAATATTCCCAAATACATTTATAGAAAAAAAAATATTTTCACTATAATAGGAGTGGCGACAATTTCTAGCATATTGTGTAGAAAAATGGTATAAAGAAGAAGATGTATTTATGAAACTAAATAGGGCGCATTTTCAGAGAAATTTCATAGGACAAAATTCAATGTGACGTATTAACAGTTAACACTGAGCTAGGAAAGCTTGTATTGTGGGTATTGAGCTCAATGCTTTATCTACTCTTCTTGTAAATCTGCAAATTTATTTAATCTTTATTTGATATCCGGGAAAGTGTTTAAATTTCAACCAATCAGAGTATAGATTGCAGTTACCGAACAGACAATCAGAGGCAGGGAAATTTTTCGCTCAATCAATGAGCGAACTCCCATTGGTCAGAACCCAGAAGAGAGATTAAGCAGTGGATATCGAGATTAAAAAAACGGGATTAAGGGTCTCCAACACAAGAGTTTCCAGCTCTGATGTGATGAACTGATTCCCAAAAATCCTTCCTCCCCCTACCATATTTTAAAGGGATTTTCGAAGGTTTGTGAAGACAAATGAAAGTTAAACTTCAACTGGCAAGTTTGTCCAATATTTATAATTTGAATTTTTTATTTTTTTCCCTTAAAATAAATAATGCTCTTAAAATTTTCCTGAAAATATATTTTTTTGATTTCTAACTAATTCTACCTGTCGGGCTAATCCCAAACCATCTCCCACAGAACCTGTTCCCCTCTCCGACCTTAATATTTCGAATTGCAGAAACTAGGCTTTTAGAGCGCTTTGCACGCATCTACTATTTAAACTTTTCATTTAACCTTGAACAAGATAAAACAATAGCAAAAAAAGTTTGCGGATTTAATAATATTTTTCGTGGGTTTCAAAAGTTATCAGAATTCCAAAACTTTATTGTAATTCTGAGCATCCATAAACCTTCCTTTGGGTCACTTGAAAAATTAGGCTTGATCGGTTCAGACGTGTTTACGTTTATTGGATACAAACAAACAGACGTCCACCCAGACAAGCAAAGTATATAAATATATCTTTTATAGAATTTTAAAGGTATTTTCCTGAAACTTAGATTTTAAACGTTATAAAAAACCTGGAAAGGGCTTGATACTGGACGGTCAGAAGCGTTGTCAATTTCAATATAGTCATTAGCACCTGAAATTAAAATAATTAGATAGATGAAACTTCAAGACTCTATAGACAGAGCTTTAGATTGAATATTGATAAGTTAATAATAAAAAATGAAAAAAGAGATAAATATGAAGAAAATCAATCGGAAGATTTTGGTTCTAATTAATTAATTGGTTCAGCACATGTTTAGTTTAAAGACACTACATAACATTTATATAGTTTTATCGTCGGATCAAAAGTAATTTAAAAAATTTACTTATGCAACCGTTTAATTCCCTAAGATAACTAATCCTTAATGATAAAAATGTAATAAAAGGTATTTTCAACAATTTAACAAAATTTCTGAAAAATGTTGTTTTCGCCAAAATTAAAATTTGTTTGCTAAACCTGAAGTTCTGCAGTTTGAGTGGGGTGTATCTTCATCACAGCAAATACTGTCTGTAAACCCAGCCTAATTATTTATAAGAGAACAACAACTTTTTATTTTAATCCTAATATTTAGCAGTTATCTGTTGCTTTTGAAGTCCGTAGAACTTATGAATAAAATTCTAATTTTATAAATCAGTTTTTGTCTAGGTGAAAATTATGGTATTCTCTGACTTTTTGTGTTTAAGTTGGTTTTCCTTGTTGTTAGGGAATCCCTTTATCTTTTGGAACAACCAGTAACATTTTCCTTTTTGTGTTTACTATGAAACCTTTTTATTTTTTATTACTCATTGCTTCTGGATACACTGTAATTTTGTTATCTATGATTTTTTAACACCCTGTACCATGGTTATCCTCGTTTTTTGATGGGTTTGACACCCTGTCACGTCGTCATTCTTCTTTTTTTGGATGCTTGGATACCCTGTACTGTCCTTATACTCCTTTGATTGATGGGGTGGATACCTTGTACTTTCGTTATACTCCTTTATTTGATGGGGTGGACACCCTGCACTGCCGTTATACTCCTTTGTTTGATAGGGTGGACACCTTTTACTTTCGTTATACTCCTTTGTTTGATAGGGTGGACACCCTGTATCGTCGTTATACTCCTTTGTTTGATAGGGTGGACACCTTTTACTTTCGTTATACTCCTTTGTTTGATGGGGTGGACACCCTGTACCGTCGTTATACTCCTTTGTTTGATGTGGTGGACACCTTTTACTTTCGTTATACTCCTTTGTTTGATGGGGTGGACACCCTGTACCGTCGTTGTACTCCTTTGTTTGATAGAGTGGACGCCCCGTACCGTCGTTATATTCCTTTGTTTGATGGATTGGGCATCCTGTATCGTCGCTATACTCCTTTATTTGATGGATTGTTCATCCTGTACCGTTGTTATACTCCTTTGTTTGATGGGGTGGACACCCTGTACCGTCGTTATATTCCTTTGTTTGATGGATTGGGCATCCTGTACTGTCGCCATACTCCTTTATTTGATGGATTGTTCATCCTGTACCGTCGTTATATTCCTTCGTTTGATGGGGTGGACACCCTGTACCGTCGTTATATTCCTTTGTTTGATAGGGTGGACACCCTGTACCGTCGTTATATTCCTTTGTTTGATGGATTGGGTACCCTGTACCTTCGTTATACTCCTTTGTTTAATGGATTGGGCGTCCTGTACCGTCGTTATACTCCTTTGTTTAATGGATTGGGCACCCTGTACCGTCGTTATATTCCTTTGTTTGATAGGGTGGACACCTTGTACTTTCGTTATATTCCTTTGTTTGATGGATTGTACATCCTGTACCGTCGTTATATTCCTTTATTTGATGGATTCTGCATCCTGTACCTTGGTTGTCCATGAGTTGGTTGAAGGAGAGGGAACCTGACTAGGAATATTACTCATCCCAAAGTATCCAACAGAATAACACATTCCACATCTAAACAGGAATTTTCATAAATTTTTGATCACAAACTCTCATTTAATCCCGATTTTGTAGACCTTGGATATTGCAAACTAAGAATTCTAGTATATCAAATTGTATAATTTTAAAATATCATATGTTTACATTATTATGTTGCACAGATTTAGGGATTAGAGTATATGTTAATGGCAAAAACTCAAAAATATGTTATTTTAACGTTTAATTTTCTTAAAACAAAAATAAATATTGTTACTTGTTCCTTTCTCTTCTCCAGCAAATTGAATACCGTTGGCTTGAAAGATGAACAGAATTCACATCCTGAAACAGTTGTATTAAAGGGACTGTAAGCGTAATTTCAAGGGGCCCCCCAGGCAAAGATGGCAATGCCCGATTCACAACGGTACCCATTAAACCTTTGTCTGATCAAGTAAAATAAGATATCAATGTTTATACCTAAAATACTGATTATTTTCGATTGTGGTTTTTCTACAAAAATGACATGATGTATTGCTCCTTCGGGAAAACCTAGAAAAACGACCATATCTTCTACATTTTCGAAAAAGATAAAGGGTTTAAGAGTGAATGGGGCCTTGCCATCTTTGCTTGCATGAAGTGTCACTTAAAGTTACACGTAAATGATCCATAAGAAATTCTAAAGCGGATTATTATATAATTTTATCATAATTACCTTGAAATTAAAGTTCTTGATTTCTCCCAGGGTTCCAGTATGCCACTGTAAGCAATCTAGATATTTTCTATCTATAGTATAAGTTTAACTTTAAAATTAAAGAACATGTTTCCGAAAACTGAAGATCTAAGGAAATAGAATGAACCATATTTAGATTATGAATTTAATTTAATTTGCTCTATAAAGAGCATTTATATCAAATATGCTCACTGCATGAAAAATTGATAAACCAACACTGTTTCTATCGGTGCATTTGCTGGGTAGCACAAAGAGCGAGTTTTCTGATTCGTTAAAAGGGGTTTTAGTCAAAGAGAATAGAATATATATTAGAGGGGAATTTACTAGAAAAAAGTGTAATACGTCCATTTTGTTGTACTGTTTCCATACTGCAGATGTACTTTACATATTTAGGCTATATAACCTTTTGGGCCCTGGAATATCATTTAATCTGATACACTTGTGGTTCCATTTCTATCAGAATACCGCTTCCTATAATGGATAAATTCACGGACACGTACTCGCAAGGGCCACACAGTGGGATATGATAGTGTATTATATTCTAAGAAACAACAAAGAATCAATTTCCCTAAACAGAAACATTGGTATATAAATGAAGATTAGATTACAATGATAGATAGATTTGTAATTAAACCTTACATTTTACTATATAATTTGAAAATGTTGCATTGTAATATGAATCATTAAACGTTTTTCATGACTAAAAAGTTATATATTAATACTCTTTAGATTAAAACCTGGAGGTGGAAGATATCTACTGTCATCACTACTATCGTACTGAGTCACCTAAAAAGAATTTTTTTTAAAGGGACCGGACTGTTATCGTAATTTTGAATGAATCTTTAATCACAAAGTGCCGTCAACGATTCACTGTATAGTTTAGAGTGTAGGCTTCGTATATTTAATTCTAAGTGACCCTCATCTTTTATTAACTGGCATGTTTAATTCACAACAGTACTCTTTAAACGTTATTCTTTTGCCTAAACATGGTTAAAAGAGAAAATTTATAGTTTTTTTCATTGAAAATTAATTTTTTTATTGATTTATCTAAAAGATTTACTTGCTTTTTATGCTGCAGAGACAAGCTACGAAATTTTGAGAATTTAACCCTTTTACGATAGAAAATAAATTATATTTTCTCAGTGTTCTCCTAAAGAGGGTATAGGGTAACGTCGTCGGATATGGCACTCTTTAAATGAGNCCCCCCCATCTCCAAAATTGTGCACCTTACGCATATCTTTTTTTTATTTGTCTACCTTAATCTCCCATTGTCTGCTGGCAGGTACAGCTAGGTCGAAGAAGAAGGTCAACTTGTTGCAGAGATCGTTACCATCAATATACATGTGTTGACCGGTGTTGTAACCACAGATTGTCGGAGGAGCTGGACTACCTCAATAATTGAAGCAAGATTTGCAAATTTCAACTTTTAAAATTTCAATTTTAAAATTTAGTAATTATCAAAAAAGTCAGTTCAAAAGCACAGACAAGTCCAAGTTTTTCGTTAGGGAACTGAATTGGAATTATGAATTTTGAGGTTCGGAGAACAGGAGTACCTGGAGTGATTACCTGGAGTACCTTGAGTGCCTGGAGTACCTGGAGTTCTATGAGCACTATGAGTACCTGGAGTGTTGACTGTTAATGTATCAAAAATACAATCTTTTTCTCAAGGACCATCTGCTGTGCGGTGAACAGAAGTTCCTGGAGTACCTGGAGTACCTCGAGTGCCTGGAGTACCTCGAGTGCCTGGAGTACCTCGAGTAACTCGAGTACCTGGAGTAACTTGAGTACCTGGAATTCCTGGTGTACCTTGAGTACCTGGAGTGCCTGGAGTACCTGGAGTTCCCATGGAGTACCTGGAGTAACTGGAGTATCTGGAGTATCTGGAGTGCCTGGAGTACCTGGAGTACCTGGAGTACCTGTAGTATCTGGAGTACCTGGAGTATCTGAAGTACCTGGAAAACCTGGAGTACTATGAGTGCCTGGAGTACTATGAGTGCCTGGAGTACTATGAGTGCCTGGAGTACTATGAGTACCTGGAGTACCTGAAGTACCAGGAGTACTATGAGTATCTGAAGTACCTGGAGTAAAAGGAGTACTATGAGTACCTGGAGTGGTGACTGTAAATGTATCTGAAATACAATCTCCTACTCTAGGTCCATCAGCTGCAGTACAAACAACAGGTTCGGTGGATCCTCCACAGCTGAATGGAGGAGCTATCTCGAAAGTAGAGAAATCAAGCCTGATCAGGGTTTTTACACAATTTTTATAATAATTTTTCTTTTTGTTGGAGGGTCACACAATACAGGAAAAATCTTCAATGACCTTGAGTTTTTTTTCTTTTTGCTTCGTTTGAGCTGCAAATTTTTTCATTGTCATATTTTTTGTCTGTATTTGTTCTTATGGCATAACCTCTTTGTTTATCTTAGAATTATAAAATCAAAGATTTTCCGATTATTAGTGATCATTGAACGGAACTGATTTATTTTTAATTGATTAAGATCTTTGTGATTCAAATCATATGTTATACTTTAAAATATTTTATTTTAAAGAATAAAATACAAGCTTAAAACTTCCCTATATTTGTTGGTATTAAACACAGAAAACTATTTAAAAACCTTCCTAATAGTTGAAACAGTTGGATTCACTTTGCAAATGGTGTAACTGCATTCAGACGATGAAACATCTGGAAAAAATAATAGTGACAAAATAGATTCTAGTACAAAAGATGGCAACGTAGAATTTGTACACTCTCAGTACAGTTTTATTCTGACGTCACAAGTGTCAATTCAGTTTTTGTGTCCGACAAAATTATCAATAATAGTGATAATTTTAGAATAAAGTGCTTATCTTACAGTAAAATAAGTGCAATTTTATGTGTTCTTTAGTTTCTGTTTTTACACTTTTTTATTTAATCTTGGAAAACATGTCAACTAATGTGAGACAATTTCGTTTTCCTTGTTATATTTGACACTTGTAACGTTGTGTATAATTGGTTCATTTCTCTGTTTCCACGTATTGTACTTGATAATCAATTTGATAGTGACCATGTTATCACATTTTTTTTACATTTACTAGAGGTCAAAACATGTTTGTTATTTAATCTGTAAATCAAGCATTCAATAGTAACCGTTGTGGATTAAACTTCATAATGGTTACTCCGTTATAGGGTCTAACCCTGCGAGGATAACTAAAATTGAGGAATCAAGCACTTATCCCTCAAATTTAAAAGTTGTCACTGCGAATATTTAGACCAAGCGTAGTAAATTAGCGCTATTTCACACGTACAAAAGATTTTAACCCAGGGTTCTCGCATTTCAAGAATTTGAATCAATTAATTATCTAAACACTAAGTTCAGTTAAACAAATTCATTGATATAAAAACTGAAAATTGACATTGCCTGTTGTCATATAAGTTGTATTCTCGTTAGAGGTTCCTCCACAGCCAATAACAAATACACAACATACTCCAAACCCTCCTCCACAACCTCCAGATACTACTCCATCCTTATCCCTAGATGCTAGATACTAGATACCAGATACTAGATACTATATACTCGATACTAGATACAAGATACTAGATATTAGATAATAGATATTAGATACTGGATACTAGATACTAGATAATGGATACTACATACTAGATACTATAGATACTAGGTTCTAGATACTAGATTCTAGATAATAGGTACTGGATACTGGATACTGTATACTTCTCCACAACCTCCAGATGTAACTCCATCCTTATCCCTAGATGCTAGATACTAGATACTAGATACTAGATACTAGATACTAGATACTAGATACTATATACTCGATACTAGATACAAGATACTAGATATTAGATACTAGATATTAGATACTGGATACTAGATACTAGATAATGGATACTACATACTATATACTATAGATACTAGGTTCTAGATACTGGATACTAGATACTTCTCCACAACCTCCAGATGCTACTCCATCCTTATCCCTAGATACTATATACTGGATACTAGATAATAGATACTACTGGATACTAGGTACTAGATACTAGATACTGGACTCTAGATACTTGATTCTAGATACTAGATTCTAGATAATACTGTATACTGGATACTGGATACTGGATACCGGATACTGGATACTGGATACTGTATACTGGATACTGGATACTGTATACTGGATACTGGATACTGGATACTGGATACTGGATACTGTATACTGGATATTGGATACTGGATAATGAATTCTAGATACTCAATACTATAGATACTATATACTAGATACTAGATACTAGATACTAGATAATAGATACTAGATACAGATACTAGATAATAGATACTAGATACTAGATACTAGATACTAGATAATAGATACTAGATACTGGATTCTAGATACTAGATTCTAGATACTAGATTCTAGATACTAGATTCTAGATACTAGATTCAAGATAATGCTGGATACTGCAGATACTGGACAATGGATTCTAGATACTCAATACTATAGATACTATATACTTGATGCTAGATACTTGATACTAGATACTAGATACTAGATACTAGATACTTGATACTAGATACTAGATACTTGATACCAGATACTGATTCTAGATACTGGATACTAGATACTGGATATTGGATACTGGGTTCCAAAATTGTGTAAACTATTACCTGCACTGTTTCTCCGTATAGCAAGTTCCATTTCTTCCAGTATTTCCAAGACAAGGAGCATTAGTAAATCTGACAACGGAGAAAAGATTCAAAAACTTCCCAACCCGTTCCCTCTCCAGGTCTTCTAGACAATGATTTCATTTAAAAATAGAATTTAAGAAAACATAAATAAAAAAATAATTTGAATTTTTGTTCCTCACCCTCCTGAGCAGTGATGTTTATTAGAATAATTGAGATAATAATATTTATTGTGAAGTTTTTCATCTTCAGATACTTCAATACTTGGAGCATTTTAAACTTTCTAAGAGTGATATTACATACAAACAATCTTACATAATTACATACAAAAAATATTACAAAAATTAAGTATGTAAGCAATACTACAAAGAAATATTTAACAAACAAATAATATTACATACAATTAATATAACAGTCAAACGATATTATCTCAAACGACATTACATACAAATAACATTACACATAAACAACATTAAATAAAAACAACATTACACGCAAAATCATTACTGATAAATAGCATTACTTAATAACAACAATATTTAAAATCAACATTACACACACGCCAACTTAAAACAAACCTTAAGGCTCAAGTAAAAACGACAATTTAACATTGTATAAAAACAATTTGATATTCAAACAACATTATTTACGCCAAGCAAAAACAGCATTACACAAAAAAATAACATTGGATACAAGCAACATTACTTGCAAACATTACGAAGAAGCAATATTGCATACAAATAACAATATGTAAACTATTTGTTATCTGATTAACATTACACACACAAACAGCATTACATACAACCATTATTACACGCAAATATCAATATCAACATCAGATTCAAGCAAAATTATATATATAAAGGACAATAACAAACAAACAACATTTTATTTACACAATAACAATACGTATACACAACATTAAACATAACGTACGAATAACGTTAATTGCAAACAATTTTTCAATAAACACAATCAATGTTTATTGTTTAGTCATCAGTTTTTTCATGAATTTATCCGTGAAATAACTCTATTAGTATTAATTCTTTTATATCCCTTAATTTCTAAAACACAAACGACTATTATTTTAATAAATGAGTGTATGAATGAATATGATGAATACTGTTTGAAGAATGACTAAGAACTGAGAACGTTTTCTCCTGCCTACAAAGCAATATTGTGGTATTGTTTATGCATTTTAATAGATTTAAACTAAAATATAGAGCATTTTAGCACCAGTAGTTTCTGCTTATACTTTCTCAGGAACCATGTCGGTCTGTCCTATTTTAGTATTTTGTCTGTTGTATTCTGCTGTCTTTTGTCTTATTTCTTATGTCTTTTTTTTGTCTTTTTCTTTTGTCTTATATCTTTTGTCTTATTTCTTTTGTCTTATTTTTTTGTCTTATTTCTTTTGTCTTATTTCTTTTGTCTTTTTCTTTTGTCTTATTTCTTTTGTCTTTTTTCTTTTGTCTTTTTTCTTTTGTCTTATTTCTTTTGTCTTTTTCTTTTGTTTTACTTCTTTTGTATTATTTCTTTTGTCTTTTTCTTTTGTCTTTTTCTTTTGTCTTTTTCTTTTGTCTTATTTCTTTTGTCTTATTTCTTTTGTCTTTTTTTCTTTCATGTGTCTTTGTCTATAGTTTTCAGTCCGGGCGATACAGTAGAAACTGGGACCGGAGAGGTTGACCCGGCTCCGAAATTAAAATGTACTAGGGCTGCCCGTGTATTACTATATTATTACTGTATTATTATTATTATTCTGAAAACGTAACCACCCCCAAAGTAGGAGTTTTGAACGTCGAATTTGCGCTCAAACTCAGGATTTACAGAACTTTAAAAAGTTTTATATGTCTCAAATGAATCCGAAAGAAGTTTTCCACAACACTGCATACTCAGTTCAACTACCTTACACAGCCGGTCACTCCCTTTAAGAAAAGTTTTGAAATTACCCAATTTAATTCTTGAATATCCGTTGAAAAAATTTAGAAAATCCATAAATATTGTTTTAAAACATCAGTTAAAAACCATGTTTATTGACTGAAGAGGAGCAATATGAAACATATTGTATTAATAAATATGAAAGCTGAGGAGAAGCTGCTCTGATTGTTGCTTTACATATATATATATATATATAAATGTGTGTATATGTGTGTAATTGCGTCTAAATCCAGTAAAGGTTTATGAACTGTTAAACGTACAAATTGGCAAGTAACAACATTGCCATATGCTGTTGAATGACTGCAGATATGTATATATTTAGTGATTAACATTATTCTAAATATATTTTATGGTGAGTAACCACAGACTAATTAGAACTATAGTAGAGCTGAGCCCAGAATCCAGATCACGCGTATTTAACAATTCGGTCCTATCCCTGCAAGCTGTGACGCTTTCGATTACAGATTACAGATTGAAGATTAAACAAACTTTTCTCTTTTTTACGTTTTTGTCTGCATAAGGGCTTTATATGGCAAATTATCAGATAAGATTACTCCGTATAGATTAAAAATTGTTGAATTATAAACCAAAACAGGATTCCATGCAAATTGAAGAAACCGAACGCATCTATTCCTGGTTAGTGGATCAGGATGAGATCCCTTGTATTTAATTTAAGAAAAATCGACCATAGCTGCTGAACAAAAAATGGAAGAAAATACAGGGTTATCTACAAAGGATACGCTGATCTTGGCTTTCATGCCTTCAACTTAGTTTTTAAAAAGACAAATAAGTTTATTTGACACATGAAGAAAAAAGGTTACAACTGCAGGGAACCATTTAATAATATAAGAATAAACACTAGCTGAATAAATTCCGTAAAGCTAGCCGTCAGCTCAAGTCGCATACTTTGGGGGTAACCCAGTATGCAGTCATACTCCGACACCCTCTACTTTACCATTTCTCAAGATCAAAAAGCTGATTTTATTTCAAAGCTATTTATAATCATCTAAAAATTATTTATCTTGAAAAATTTTTGCACGTTTTTTTATGCAAACTACAAAGATGTATAATGTCGTCTTACTGAAGAAATCACTTAAGACAAATAAATGACTTTGTTCACATTTATCCCTAACAGGCTATAGGAGCCAACATGTATCTTTGTATGTCAGGGAGGGACGGGAGGGATGTCTCGTGCCACCCCCCACCCCTCCCTTCCTTGAAAAAGGTATATTTGCAAAATGTGCATGCTGCAATGTTTTTAACCCAAACATGTAAGAATAATGGTCTAGTGTTTAATCGTACCAACCCGTCCAGTGTACCCAGTATGTAGTTGAACCAGCGCAGGGTTTATGCAACAAAACTAGGATTGCATCTCATTGATCTCATTAACCCAGTACTTCTGAGACATCGAAAGAATTTATAAAATATCGTTTTTTAAACCTACTGATAATGAAATACTGAAGATATTTAGATTTTCAATTGAATAATTATTTGGAGCTATTTTAAACTTTTCCCGCATATTTCATGGCATTTTATTTATTTTTACAGTTTAACCCAGTACTTCTGAGACATCGAAAGAATTTATAAATGACGTTTTTTAAACCTACTGATAATGAAATACTGAAGATATTTAGATTTTCAATTGAATGACTATTTGGAGCTATTTTAATCTGTTCCCGCATATTTCTATTAATTTATTTTTACAATTACTGAGATTTAGGTTTATAAAAGTATAAAACCCATTGAAAAATTGTCAATACGGTTGAACTGTATGTGATACCCTGTGTACTAAAAATGTGAATAATAAGTAAGTTTATTTTCCAAATTAAATAAAATTTATATAAAATGATTTAACATATTACAAAAATGCACTTTGTACATTTGAGGTGTATTTCTATGCATGATGTGAATGATGATAATTATTGAAATGACGACTATGTTAGTATTTGGTTTTGTGTCAAGTTTTATAACAGAATGATATTAACATTGGAGACAATTCAACGGTTTAAAACAGATATTTACATTCATGAAAACTAATATTTGATACAAATTATGTTTTATTACTGAATTGATGGAAGTTACAAGACTGAGAAAGGGAATGTGAGCTCCAGATAGGAATCATCATTTCTGAAAAAAAAACTCATCTATTCTACATTAAAATATTGATAAAATGTCAACCCTTTGGTCTATTTTCCTATTGTTAATTTGTCACAAAATATTTGTTTTAAAAAACTAGAAAATTGTTATTTTTTCAATTTGATTTGATCTCTAAACTTTACCTAGATAAATCCTGCTTAATCTTCTTCTCCGCTCTGAAATTATTGTTTTTTATGTATGACAACTACATACAGGGTTACCCACAAAGGATAAGACTACAAAGACGACCTAAATCACTCTTTAAACATGACGGTTCCAAGGTTAAATTAAGTCTTTTGCCTTGAATATAGTCTTTTAATAGCATATAGACTCATTTGGTAAAACAAAATAAGTTTACTGTTGCAGGGAATCATGCATATACGGAAACATACAGTATACATTCCATAGAGTCGTCTATAAAGTCCCATCCTTTGTGGGTAACCCTGTATGTGTAAATATACAGTATAAACTTTACGATAAATAAAAATTAACTGTGAAAATCTGTACAATTTTACACTTTCTAAGTAAGTGTACTTGATGAATCTTTTTTGTATTTTTAAGATATACATAATTTACTTGTTGAGTCTATATATTGTTATATTTACTTGTTGAGTCTATATATTGGAATATTTACTTGTTGAGTCTAGTTTTGTAAATTTGTGTCATTTCATGAGCATCTTCCACCTCTGCTCCCTTCCTCGCCAGGTCATCCTGATTATCAATACTATCATGTTTACTTCATTATATGGGTAGAGTGGCATGTCCGATTCAAAAATCCTTTAAATCTAATTTTCTAACCCTTTTATTTTTAAAGCATGATATTGACTTGAATTCTGCTTGACTAATAATCAAAGTTCGAAATATCATAGGCTTACACCATCAGGTTAAAAAAGATATAGAGATAAGAAAAATAGAATTGTTGGCAAGTAATCAGATTGTTTATAAGTTTAAATATAAAAGAATATCAGCATATTTGAATTGTCTATATTTTCAAAAAAATTCTTTTTACATTTTTAATATTATAAATATTGATGATAATAATGATAATCTTTACTTTATCTTTTAAGAGATTGATAAAATATCTAGATACATTTAATAATGATGAATACTTTTCTTATTATTTACAAAGTCCATGTTTTTTATTTTCATTATTTTTAAAACCCATGTTGTTTTTTTAACTGACAATTCAGGCATTTTCATGTGATTTATATTAGATATTGATCACAGATTTCAGATAATACATTTTAAAGATAAAAAATTTATTAATTTTTACTTCTAATTGTTTAATTCTTGCTTTTAGAGTTTTGTTCTGGTTAAGAGAATCCTTGAGGCGGATGTCAAATTTAAGGGTCAACTCTCTCATTTCATCCTTCCATTGCTCTCCAACCTTAAATAACATAATTCACAGTTAGTCATCATACACAAAGCAATAGAGTAACGACGTAAATGTTGTATTTACGTAGTTTTCGTTTTAAAAACTGCCAATGCCAAACTTGAACGTATTCTGCCGTTTTAAATTTTCAGTTTGACGAACCTTACATTCCAAAAAAGTTTAAATATGGAAAAAAAAGATTTTTTAAAAATATTTTTGATTAAAAAAATGATACCCCATAGATTACCTGCCTCTGTGCTAACAGTAGATTTTTCACCTCATTCATATTTTTCTTGTGTTTTATCTAAAACAATATTGATATTAATATTTATTTACAAAAATGTCAAAATAAGCTTCAATTTTAATATAGCAAGGTGTTTAGAGAGACTGCTTTTTACTCTACACCGTGGAAAAGTAGAATTTGCTTTCATTCAATAATTCTTCATTTCATTTCTTAACATTTTTAATTATCTTCAATTTGCTTACAAAGTACACCAATTCCAGCAAATATGCGTGGGATTACTTCTTAAATATCAAGACTGTAAATTCCTATTTAGTCAAATACACAAAGGTCGGAAATTTTGTGTTTTGGTGATTCTTGTTGAAATGTGTTCAGAAGTATAACTTTTTGTGTAGCGTCTCGTCAATCTTGAACGTTAATCTCGATTTCCATTGTGGGCAATTTTGAATTTAAGGATCAATGCTTGATTCCTCAATTAAATTTATCCCTGCAGATCAACACGGTATATTAAAGAGAAATTAAATTAATCCGTTGGTCTGTCTAAAGATGGAGATCAAGACTTGATCCCGAGATTCCCAAAACAAAAGTTCTGACTTTAGTGGCCGAATTTAACGAATTTAAGCCGCGTCTCAAATCCACAAAAAACCGGTTTCAAATGAGCGCCGGCTTAAATATTTAAAAATTGAATGCAATCCTTAGAAGAACCAACCAAATTTGAGCCCCCAGTTTAAATTTAAGCCGCAGCTCAAATTCTTTAAATTCGGCTTCAGGTCTTTTTAAAAATGTCATTAAGACGTCCTAATGTAATGTTTATAACATCAAGAAATAAAAACTTTAAAATGTTTCTTCGTCAGAACAAATAATTCGTTTAATCCACATACAGGGTTATCCATTAAGGAGGAGTCATTAGAGACGACTAAACAGAAACTATTTAAACTCATTTCTTGATTTATTTTATGGTTTGCTTTGTTTCTTTTTTTACGTATTTGATCAGCATTTAATGAAAAGTTAACCTTTAAATTATGGTTTATGAACCATTTTTAGGTACGTAACCTGTACTATAATCTAATTTAAAGATTTTTTTATCAATTTTGATGGTTATTATATCGTTAGAACTGACGAGGGTCAGCCCAGACCGAAATATATTTTCAATAAATGTGGAACTAACATCTACTTTTTTTTCTCTACAGAGGTTTGGTCCATCACTATCACCGAATTTTAAATAATATGTATTTTGTATTTTGTACTCCCAAGGAAATTTTTTAATTAGTCTAAAAATTGTGGATCGACATTTTTAAAGAAAAACTAATTAAACAAAAATTTTACAATTTTACGTTTCTGTTCTTAATGTATGATGTATGTGTATTGAGTATGATTTATCCACCTGAATTGATTTTATTCTCCTAAACCATATTTCCTTCTCTGCTTCAACCTCTGCCTTACAACGAGATATTTCATTCTCCAGCTCCTTACACCTAGACCGAAGGAAAAATGATTATATGATCTTTTCAAAACATGTGTTTCGGTGTGTACTGCAGTGATCTGACCAAAGAAATAATTGGTTTTTAGTGGAGGTTGGTTATGAATAAAACCATGTGTTTTAATGTTTAATTGATACATGCCTCTTGGCCATTATAAACTTTTACTACTAACTTTAAGCTCCGATTGACTAATAACTGTACCGTTCACTATTTTTGTACCTGCCGAGTCTGCCCTGAAGTGACAGATGAGATTGTACTTGACCGAATTTTACTTAACAGTCGATACCCGTATGGGATGTCTCCTTATATTAAGTTTGAGAAGACAAGGTTTTTAAAAAGTGATATTCAATAAACAACCCCATATTAATCATGGCACCGTTTGATTGACAATCCCTTTAAACTAACAAAATCCCTTCAAATTAACTAAAATTCCTTTCGAACTAACAAAAGTCGCTTTAAAGTAACTAAAACTCCTTCCGACAAATTTGAAAAGTTACAAGTGGTTACCTGTGCAATTGTATCCTGAGGAGATGCTGAAGGTCCTCATCATCATTATTCTCCTCTTTCTCCTCTTTCTTCTCCATCTTCTCCATCTTCTCCATCTTCTCCTTCTTCTCCTCCTCCTCCAGCTCCTCCAGGAGAGATACTGTCTGATCACTGGGGCTCATTCCTTGGGACCTGAGAAAGAATGATTTAAAGGTTTCTGTAAGCGTAATTTCGAGTGACCTTCCATTAAGAATCGGAGATCCTCCTCTTTTAAATTGAAGGCCACTGAAAATGACGATGACAGTTCCTTTGGTCTCATGGTTTTATCATTTGATATTAGATCTATTCCTAATATTCAGGTTTGATTTATCAAGTTTTTTTGTCGTTGAAAAACATCCATCAAGAAAAAAAAACGTTCAACGTGAAGATTGGGTAAATTAAAATCCTCTTAACAGAGATTTAACAATGTCTAGAATGATTTTGGTAGGATCATACTTTAATCTGGATAATATAGGTTTTAAAGGAATTGAGTCTTTGCCACAAACTCTGATTTTATAATCCTTATATCTTCACAACCCAATGTCGCAGACTTTAGATATTTTGAATTATAAATTGTGTTAGATCACAAAATCTGAGTTTGAAATATGAAAGGTTTTAACCATGAGGTTTCAAAGATATAGGAATTAGAAAATTTGAGTTTGTGACAGCGACTCAATTCCTTTGCATCCCCAGCATCTCCTTATACCTTATACAGTCTGGAGATAATGTTAAGGTTTGAACAGGTTCAGATACCTCCTTAAACCTGATAAAGTCTGGAATGTTAAAGTTTGAACAGGTTCAGATATCTCCTTATACCTGATTCAGTCTGGAGATAATGTTAAAGTTTGAACAGGTTCAGATATCTCCTTATACCTGATACAGTCTGGAGATAATGTTAAGGTTTGAACAGGTTCGGATATTTCTTCAACTTCATTATAGTTCTCATACTGGTCTTCTGGTGTAGGTAACAGAAAATAAATAATTACTTTCTATATTTAATCTAAAATGTAAAGTGTGTAGGGTAAGATTATTCATCCTTTATCGCCCAGAATCAAACGTTTTTGCTTAATTCTCGCAAACTGTTTCTTTAATTTTTAGTTTGATTGTTTTTTTGTTTCTTTGGATGGGGAGGGGGAATTGTTGTATATATATTTAATAAAACATAAGCTAAAATTTAAGTTAGCTCAGGCAGGAATAACTTTTAAAATTATTGAAAGTTACTTTACTTATTTAACTACTTTACATACTTATTGCACGCAGGCCCAAAAGTATAAAATAATATGATAATAGAAATGGTAAAGTTTTTTTTAAATTCCTTTGCTTTGTTTATGGTAAATAAGTGACAAATAGAAATGATAAAAAAATGTGTAATATGTATGACCAAGTTCTAAAACATTCCCAGTAAGGTTTGAATTTTCTACATTATCTTGTTAATTTAAGTATTTACAAAATTCCTGGAATTGTTTCCTTCATATTATTATTTTGAGAAGAGTTTTGTTATTCAGCAAATTTTGAAAATATAAAGAAAAACAAGATCAGCAGATCTTAGCGGAGTGCATTCATCATCATCACAAAAACTAGAAATTAAAAATTAAATGTCGCATTGATTTCTAAGCCAGTAACTTTTGTATTTAATACCCTTAATTGTGATCTTTTAATCCCAATATTCATTGTGGACACTATAGATTTCCTGCTTAATCCTCTCTTTTTGGATATCCATCTGAGTTCCGACCAACGAGAGTTCTCTAATTGGTTGCGCACAAAGGAATTGAGTTTTTGCGATAAACTCTTATTTTCTAATCCCTAGATCTTTGTACACGATGTCGTAGACCTTTGATATTTCAAACTATAAATTGTATTCTAGTCTAATTTTGAAATATCCAAGGTTTGCGCCATCAGGTTGCAAAGATATTGACATTAGAAAATTTGAGTTTGTGGCAATAACTCAATTCCTTTCTCGTCTTCAGATTGGCTGTCCGTTTTCTACAAATTGAATTTTAGAATACTTTCCTAGATTTCAAATAAAGATCAAATTAATCTGCATATTATCAAAAAGAGGTCCAGTGAAATCCAATTATATATTATCATAATGTAAACCAATACTCTTGGTTTGTCTGTTTTGGTGTTTGTTTCTTTGTCTAATCATAACTCATGAACCCCTTCACCGATTTGCTTGTTTTGATTGGGTTAACTTGTTAGAACTATGTTCTAAGCTTGGTTTAAAGTGAAGTAGGTCGACTTATATTCCTGGCAAACCTGGTTCCACAAGCAAGTAACAGAATATTTTTGTTTTGCTGAAACGTCGTTGATAAAAGAACTGAATGCGCGTCTCAAACTCTATTTTTCTAATCCTTAAATCTTTCACATTTCAAATTAGGGAATAATATTCAAATTTTGAATTTTAAAATTTTTTCGCCATCAGGTTGCAAAAATTTGAGAAAAATGAGTTTTAATGATGGGTGAATAAAATCAATCAAGAACGCATACAAACAACTGAACAATCACTTTAAATTTTGCCCAAACTAAACCCGAATCCATGGCAACAGATTTATTAATCAACTTGGATTTCAAATCTGAAATTGCAATCGCTTTATAAAATAGCAATCTTTGGAGAATGAAATAAATTTTTTCAATCTTAAGTCGCTGAAGAATATTAAGAGTAACTTAAAGGAACATAATTTCAAGTGGACATCCATTCAAAGATGTCAATTTCCGATTTACAACGGTACCATTAAAAGCTTTGTCTGATAACGTATGAATTATAACGACAGAGGGTCAAAAAGTGCGAGAACTGGGTAATTTTGTTTTTTTTGAGAGACAGTACATTATTTAACATTTAAGAGAACGTAGCGCTCGGCCCAGAAATTGTTTTAACCTAACCTAACTTAAAATAAGATGAGAGACAGAATATTTTTAAACACATTAAATGAAAAAATTAAAAGAAATATTTTTGTCATTTTGACCCTTTGTTGTGTTTTTGGCCGTTTTACGTTTGACCCTAGGTCGTTTTATCCTATGTTGTTTGCCCTAGGTCGGTCGTTTTCCCCTATGTCGATGAACCCCATTTTGGAAAATTGCCAGAGGTAAAAAATCCTTTGTTATATTGCCTTTTGGCAAATGCCCGAATCCGACACTTTGTATTATTTACATGTGCGTAACCCTACACATTATAAAGTTGAAAAAATTTGGAATTCCTTTTTCTAATATATCTATCTTCATATATAATTAAATAGCTAAATAACTATCATTTCGGCCTATATGAGAGTATTAGCTAAAGTGACCGGCGTGGCCTGTGGAATTTTGAAATCATCTTTTTAGCCTATGTGTATCACGGTATCGCCCCCAGTGTATCCTTGAGTTTCCCGAAAAATTTCAGCCAATTTGGTCCAGCCGTTTGGCCAACTGTAGCCAACATTTACATATATATATATGAGAATGTAAATTTGTTTTTTGATTGAATAATAAATTGATTATATATATAATACATAATATATATATTTATCATATATATATATGTACAGGCGAAGAGCTTTATTTTATAGATTCATATTTTCATCTGTCCCTCCTCCTGTCCCTGGAGATTTTAGAAGATTAGAACTCTCTTCATTATTCCCAGTCACAGTGCTGTACACCATTTCGTTGCTGTACACCTAAATAATAAACCATTGCGTTGTTGTACACCTAAACAATAAACTAATTCGTTGTTGTAAACCTGAACATTAAACCATTGCGTTGCTGTACACCTAGAAATTAAAACTGCATTTCGTTGCTTTACATCTTAACAATATAAACCATTTCGTTGCTTTACATCTAAACATTAATCCATATCGTTGATGTACACCTAAACAATAAAAAGTTTGTTGCTGTTCACCAAAACATTAAAAATATTGTTGTTGTACAGTGTACACCTAAACATTAAACCATATCGTTGCTGTGCACCTAAGCAATAAACGTGTGCGTTGCTGTACACCTAAATAATAAACCATATCGTTTCTGTACACCTAAACTATAAACGTGTTCGTTGCTGTACACCAAAACAATAAACGTGTACGTTGATGTACACCTGACCATTGAAACCATGAAAAAAATTGTACTTTACGACTAAAACTGTATAACCTCTTCTCCCACCGCCCCCCCCCCCNTATTCCTATATAACTTTAAAGTGTGAATAACCTGTATTTATTGTCTAGACAATTGAAAAGAATTATTATTTTTAAATGTTTATTGATTTATGTAAATATCTACTTTCATTTTATAAAAAAAACTCTTGCTAGCTTTTTATGTAAATAATAAGAATTTTCTTTTTCAACAAATTTTAAAACATTTGAATGAAAAATGTCCAATTATGAAATAAAACGTTATGTACCAATATTTTGTATTTGTGAATGAAAACCGATACAAATTCATGGATACAATTTATTTTTGCTTCTTCAATTTTTTGCTAAAGCTAATATTTTGAAAAATTCAATTTAAAGTGATAAAAAAGTTGTATCAAAATTTATAATTAATTTTCTGGTGTCACCTTTACAAAAAATGTTTAGACGTCGTTTTCAGGGGGGGGGGGGGAACATACAATTGATTAATGACCAAAAAAATGTTGTTTGGATATTATTTAATGAATATTTGGGGAGATATTATAAAATCTAAGAATTTTAAAAGTTATCGTAAAGGAATTCAGTCTTATAGATATAAATATTTCAGTTCTAAAGATATAGATATTTCAAACTATAAATTATGTTAGAACAAGAACAACTAATCTTATTTTAAAATATCAAAGGTTTACAATACCAGGTTGCAAAGATATAAGGACTAGCAAATTGGAGTTTGTGGCAACGACTTAAATCCTTTCTGATTAACATTTTATGAGATTAAATCAGGCAATGAAGGGATCTTCGCTCTTGCATTAGATTACCTTGAATACTCGACTCAGCTTTATATTTAAGATTTTCCTTCGATGTAAGACGTTTACGAGACAACCTCGGAGAACAAACCTGGGACCACATGAATACCGAGCAGTAGTTGAACTAAGAATACTTAGTTGAACCGTACTAGTTCAAGTTTAAAATAAGAGGTTTAACCAGGTCATCGTAGTTTAACTACTTCTCGCAATTCATAATTTTTGGTCCCTAGAATCTTTCAAATAGTTTTTGATATCATTTTAGTTATAACAGTTCTCAAGATTCTATTTTATAGGAAGTATTTTTTATATCAGGTTCTTTTTAGGAACTAATGATGCTAGGTAAAGGTGCAGGTTAGGAACTGATGATGCTGGGTAATGGTTCAGATTAGGAACTGATGATGTAAGGTAAAGGTAAAGGTTAGGAACTGATGATGCTGGGTAATAGTACAGATTAGGAACTGATGATGCTGGGTAATAGTACAGATTAGGAACTGATGATGCTGGGTAAAGGTTCAGATATACTGATGATGCTGGGTAAAGGTTCAGATATACTGATGATGCTGGGTAAAGGTTCAAGTTAGGAACTGAGGATGCTGGGTAATGGTTCAGATTAGGAACTGATGATGCTGGGTAATGGTTCAGATTATGAACTGATGATGCTGGGTAATGGTTCAGATTATGAACTGATGATGCTAGATAAAGGTTTAGAATATGAACTGATGATGCTGGGTAAAGGTTCAGATTATGAACTGATGATGCTGGGGAAAGGTTTAGAATATGAACTGATGATGCTGGGTAAAGGTTCGGATTATGAACTGATGATGCTAGATAAAGGTTTAGAATATGAACTGATGATGCTGGGTAAAGGTTCAGATTATGAACTGATGATGCTGGGGAAAGGTTTAGAATATGAACTGATGATGCTGGGTAAAGGTTCNATAAAATATAATATAATATATAATAAAAAAATTTAAAATTGCCTTTGACACCCCTGGGATCCATCAAAAGAGCTTTTTTATATAGAAGATGGTTGCGATATAATATGAATTTTTTATTATAGAAATACTTTCTCTTCTAATTATTTCATTATTGCTTGAAAAACTTATCTAAAATATATCATTTTACGTTTACTAATATTTAAGTTATAGTGAATAAAGTGCAAACAAAATCAACTTGCAATAATTAGTAAGTTGAAAACTTTAAAAAGTGAAAAATTGATTCGATTTTGAAATCATGTTTTTTGGGCCTGTGGACAATCATTTATTATTGTGACACCCTGAATAATTTTCCTTTGATCCCGTCAAAAATGTTGAATTTTGTCTTACCTCCTTTTTCTCTTCCATAAAGATGAAATATAGCTCCGAGTTTTTATAATTCTAAATATCTAGAGTTTCAGCTCACAACTCAAGCACATGTCATCATTCATTTATTCATTAAACTTGACAAAGTTTATGACTTATCATTATGGCTGAAACAGGAAAATGTTAATGATGACTAATTTTAAAAAATATTGGATTCTTTTCAAATTAAAAGTTGAAAAAGAAAAGTTATAGAGTAGAAGTTAACACTAACTTGAATTCATTACTACTTAATCAGACTTCACTATGTTCGATCACAACCTAATCCTTTTCATTCTAATCCTTGACATTTTACAACTAAATCCTTTTATTACAATTCCTTATTAAATTTCTAATCCTTATATCTTTGCAACTGATGATTGTATTAAACTATTTGACTTGCAGAATTAATATTTAGAAGAATCCTAGCTCTAACCCTTCAGGTTTCAAAGATATAGGGATTATAAATTAGAGTTTGGGGGAGATAAAATTTCCTTGTCTTTTTCTCGCTACAGCCACTCGTTGTTCAAAATAAAAATGGGTCAGTAACCCTTTTAGTTCTAGCCCTTTAAATCTTAAACCCTTTATATCTTAAACCCTTTATATCTTAAACCCTTTATATCTTAAACCCTTTATATCTTAAACCCTTTATATCTTAAACCCTTTAACAAGCTGTCGTCAGAGTTGGGTCTAAGATTGGGTCTTAAAGCTGGGTTTAAGGAATTAAGACTCGAGCCGAAGCTTTTAAATCGCGGGCTCAGATGCCATAGAGTTATTTTATGATTGTATTCCTGATCCAATTTTTTAAAAAAAAAGTCCAAATCGTCTCTAATGAATTGTACTCAAACATTAACATTTAACAGTTAAAGGTTTAAAGGTCAAGTCAGGTTTTAATTTGGTTTAACTACTTTTGATATTGTTAAAATGATCTAATTTGCCTCAAGTCTATATTTGAGTATGTTACAAAATCTAAGAAATGATAAATCTTCAATAGAAGAATAATGGAGAACTATATTACTCCGTACTGTTACACTACCCTTGATTAACTGTTAGAATTGAATCCTCGAGGTTCCTCTCTCCAGGTTTACAATACAACCCTCGGTCCCTAGTTCCTTAGTTTCTCCAGAGCCCGCGATTTAAAAAATTCAAGAAAATACGACTCGGGTCTAAGCTGTTGTTGAGCCTTATTTACGGCTCGGGCTTTCGAATTTAAGTTGCATCTATTTTTCAACAGAATTTAGTTCATAAAACCGGTTTAATGTTGTTTTTGGCGGATTTTCATAGTTGGAATTGGTGCATTCCGAGTTTTGATGAGAATAAGACCCAACATTGAGCCTTATTCTCCACTAAAACCAACCAAGGTCGGTTTTATTTTCATTGGGCCTAACTCCTTAAGTCGAGCCTAAGATCTCGCAGCTGTCAATCACGTGACACAAGCTGTCGTCAGAGTTGGGTCTAAGATTGGGTCTTAAAGCTGCGTTTAAGGAATTAAGACTCGAGCCGAAGCTTTTAAATCGCGGGCTCAGGTTAGCAATACTGCCCTCGGTTCCTAGTTTCTTATTTGCTCCAGGTTTACAATACAACCCTCGGTTCCTACAGTTCCTTAGTTTCTCCAGGTTTACAATACAACCCTCGGCTCCTACAATTCTAGTTTCTCAAGGTTTACAATACAACTCTCGGTTCCTATAGTTTCTTAGTTTCTCCAGGTTTAAATTATAACTCTCGGTTCTTAATTCCTTAGTTTCTCCAGGTTTACAATACAACCCTCGGCTCCTAGTTCCTTAGTTTCCTTAGTTTCTTCAGGTTCACAAGATTTGCAACTCTCAGTTAGTCGTGTCTTAGAATCTCCTGGTTTACAACCCTCGTTCCTTAGTTTCTCCTGATTCACAATGTTTTCAACCCTAGTCTCCTTCCCTATTTTCTCCATGTATTAAAGGTTTACAACGATTGTTCATTGTTTCTTCAGGCGTACAAGCCTCGGTTTCTTGTTTCTTAGCTTTTCCATTTCAATCTCCAGTCCCAGCCCAACTTTTTTTAGCTTTTACATATTTTAATCGCCAGGCCCCCATACCCTCTCTTCTAAGCTTTTCCATTTTAATCTCCTGGTCCCATACCCTCTCTTCAAAGCTTTTCCATTTTTATCTCCAGGCCCAATACCTTCTCTTCTAAGCTTTTCCATTTTAATCTCCACAAACCCGATATATTACCTGGCAAGAAATCTTACAGAAAATAATAACTTTAAAGTTTTTAAATATATTTATGTCTTGGAATTATCAGAATTATATTTGATTAGACCATTATTATTGTGTGCAAGAGTTTGATTAATTGATTACTAGCACAAGCTTTGAATTCTGCCAAAGTTTTGAATGTTAAATGTTCTTACCAAGAGGTTGCAAGGATAAAGAGATTAAGAAATAGTTTATAATAAGTGGCGCTGCGGTGTAATTCCACTTTTTCTAAAAAGTAAAAAAGAAATTTTTATATTAATCTTCCCCCAATTTTTTTTAATGAAGATTCCCCTTGAATGATATCCGAAATATATACTCCCTACATACATTCCACTTTATAAATTATTTCGACAATAATTTGTTATTTATTTATTATGATTCAACACAAACATATCATATTTTATTTTGAACAGAAAAACACAGCTAAGAAATTGAGTTCTTTCCAAAAATTCTGATTTTGATATCACTTTATCACTATAATATCAAAGGTTTACACCATCAGGTTGCAAAGATATAGGGATTAATAAATTTGAGTTTGTGGTTTAGTTCATTTAGTAATTAAAACTTAGGCGTTATGCACAACACTTTGGTTTGATCATCGTGTAGTGTCGGAATTAACCTTAGGATTAAATCCAAAATCAAACTTAAAAGAAAGATTACAAAATACAATAGGGTTTTTAAGATTGTTCTGAAATAAGCAGTTGTCCGGATCCATATGGATGAGAAGAAAAATAAATTAATTTAAATGAAATATTTAAAAAAAGGTAAAAAAGATTTTAAGGTTTATTGTTTAGTCCCAGCAGAAGATTGAGCAGAGGATAATCTGAACTAGAGAAGAGAACAGGAGAACAGTCAGGATATTGTACATAGTTCTGTTGTACCTAGACCTAGAACAGGATATTGGTTGAGATTCAGAGTTATTTTGTACCTAGACCTATAACAGAATATTATCCGGGGTTCTGTTGTACCTAGACATAGAACAGGATATTGAACAGAGTTCTGTTGTACCTAGACATAGAACAGGATATTGAACAGAGTTTTGTTGTACCTAGACATAGAACAGGATATTGAACAGAGTTCTGTTGTACCTAGACATAGAACAAGGATATTGAACAGGGTTCTGTTGTACCTAGACATAGAAAAGGATATTGTACAGTGTTTTGTTGTACCTAGACCTAGAACAGGATATTGAACAGAGCTTTGTACCTAGACCTAGAACAAGGATATTGAACAGGGTTCTGTTGTACCTAGACATAGAACAGGATATTTTACAGTGTTTTGTTGTACCTAGACCTAGAACAGGATATTGAACAGAGTTTTGTACCTAGACCTAGAACAGGATATTGGTTGAGATTCAGAGTTCTTTTGTATCTAGACCTATAACAGAATATTATCCGGGGTTCTGTTGTACCTAGACCTAGAACAGGATATTGTACATAGTTCTGTTGTACATAGACATAGAACAGGATATTGAACAGAGTTCTGTTGTACCTAGACCTAGAGCAGGATATTATACAGGGTTCTGTTGTACCTAGACATAGAACAAAATATTGAACAGGGTTCTGTTGTACCTAGACCTAGAACAGGATATTGTACAAGATTCTACAGCACCAGACGAGCAAGAAAATTAGATTTCAAAATACCATTAATCTACTAGTAAAATATCGAAATGGACCCATAACTTTAACCAGGTCAAAATATCAATTTTAAAAAATGTTAATTAATTAATACGTTAATTACTAATTGTGTGTTTACCTGTTCATTAAATTGTAAGATATTAGACCACAAATACAAAGAGTTAATAATCCACCTTGACATAGCAGCATAGAAACCAGTCCACTTCTACAAATACATAGGGTTAATAATTCATCCTAACATAGTAACATAAAAACCAATCCGCTCCTACAAATACAAAGGGTTGATAATGCACCCTGACATAGAAACATAAAGACCAGTCCACTCCTACAAATACATATGGTTAGTGAAGTCCCTGGCATAGTAACATAGGAACCAGTCCAATCCTACAAATACAAAGGGTTAATAATGCACCCTGGCAAAGAAACATAAAAACCAGTCCAATCCTACAAATACATAGGGTTAGTGAAGCCCCTGGCATAGTAACATAAAAACCAGTCCAATCCTATAAATACATATGGGTTAATCCACTTAGGCATAGTAACATAGAAACTAGTCCACTTCTACAAATACATAGGGTTAATCCACTTAGGCATAGAAACATAGAAACCAGTCCAATCCTACAAATACATAGGGTTAATAATGCACCCTGGCATAGAAACATAGAAACCAGTCCAATCCTACAAATGCAAAGGGTTAATAATTCACCCTGGCATAGTAACATAGAAACCAGTCCACTTCTACAAATACATAGGTTTAATCCACTTAGGCATAGTAACATAGAAACTAGTCCACTCCTAAAAATACATAGGCTTAATCCACTTAGGCATAGTAACATAGAAACTAGTCCACTTCCACAAATACATAGGATTAATCCACTTAGGCATAGAAACATATAAACAAGTCCACTTCTACAAATATATAGGATTAATAATCCACCCTGGCATAGAAACATAGAAACCAGTCCAATCCTACAAATACATAGGATTAATAATCCACCCTGGCATAGAAACATAGAAACCAGTCCAATCCTACAAATACATAGGGTTAATGAAGAACCCTGGCAAAGTAACATAGAAATCATAGAAACATAAAAACCAGTCCAATCCTACAAATAATAATAATAAAATCCACCTTGAAATAATAACATAGAAACTAGTCCACTTTTACAACTACATAGGGTTTATAATGCACCCTGGCATAGTAACATAGAAACAGTATAATCCTACAAATACATAGGGTTAATCCACTTATACATAGTAACATAGAAACTATTCCAGTTCTACAAATACATAGGGTTAATCCACTTAGGCATAGTAACATAGAAACTAGTCCAGTTCTACAAATACATAGGGTTTATCCACTTAGGCAGAGTAGCATAGAAACTAGTCCAGTTCTACAAATACATAGGTTTATTTACAATATTCCATTTAATATTTCTGGTAAAATCTAGCCATTTTATAACTGCAGTATACAAATGTTATTAGAAGACATAACAGTATCTAGCCACTTTATAACTGCAGTATGTAAATGTTATTAGAAGACATAACAGTACCCTCTATCTAGCCATTTTATAACTGAAGTATGTAAATGTTATTAGAAGACATAACAGTACCCTCTATACCGTGTACTGATCAAATATGATGGATTTATTATGATTTCTCTACAAAACTAATTTTATTGTTGATATCTTTATTTTGTAGCAGTTTTGTATGTAAGAAATATTAATATTCTCTTTCCAAAATCCAAAATGAAGATGAATATTTTCAATTGAATTTTTGAAAACCGCGTTGGACAATTCGGAATTTAGTTGGGTTGAGTTGATACTCCCTTATTTTTGGTAATTTTAACACCATTTTAGAGATAAACACACATGGTTTCTACCCTCGATGACCAGTCAAATGTTTAAAGGGTACCGCTGTAAATAGGACATGCCTCTATATTAATGAAGGGTTACTTGATATTACTTCTAAAGTCCTTTTTAAGATTCATTTAGCTAAGATGACATACATTGATAAAAAGGTTTAATTATCTCTTCCTTACTCTACTTATCCTTATTTATTTTTATCTCTTCTTTCTTACCCCAAAGAATCTTTGTGTGGAAGAGAAAGATGTGGATGGTTCGGATGAGGTTGAGACTGGCGTGACAGGGTTGGGAGAAGATGAGAAGATGAATGGGATTGCTGAGAACCGCTGTAAAAGTTCTCTAGGGGCAGCAGAGAAATATCATCTGAAAATAAAATAAATAAATAAAATAAAATTACTGTTGAACAGACAAAGATCTACAGCACTTCTAGCAGTTTAAAAAAGTCTTTGAGCTTCCCTAATCAGTATTACTGCCCCTACACTCCCCCCCCCCCACCGGTCGATGTTAAGTGGGGGGGGGTTGATAGGCACCCATAAATCTAGTTTTTTTGGTTAAAAATCAGACTGATAATTGTACATTTTGAAAAAAAAAAAATTTTGAGAATTGAAGAGTTGAACAATGGGGAAATTATTTTTTGAAAAGATATCCTAACTAAAATTAGTTATTTTAAGAAAAATGCCCATTTAAAAAAAATATTTTTGTCATTTCAGAAAATTATCCTTGAACAATAAGTCATCCTTGGAAGTTTTCCTTGGACAATAAGTCATTTTGGGAAGTTATCATCGGAAAATTTAACATTTTGGGAAGTTTTCATTGGAGAAAATAAGTCATTGTGCAGTGTACACAGACAAATTTCACTAAATTTCTGATTTATTGAGTGTCTAGTAAAAACTTTTTTCTTTGTAACAACCTCAAATACACTTAGGTATTGCAATTATGACGTCTTCCTACTCCATTGTTTTCTGGTTCTCACTGTAACTAAAACAATATTCATTACCTAGACTCCACATGCTGTAGAGTAAATCAACCGTATCTCTTGATGGTTCAGCTCCAAGGTTACTCAGTTCTCCGACAGGGGGTAGAAATAGGAGAGATATTTCGTACACATACGGAGTTAAACTCCCGTTCTTAACAAAACTAAATATTATAATATAATGAGAACCTGCAGATGACAGTTTTCTATGCATATTAATGGGCTTATCGTGGAAATTCTACTTTTGCAGTGCAATCTCAGATTATAGATAGTATCTATCAAAATCAAAGTTTAGAATAAGTGAATTGGATCTGCAATAAAATGTCAAAAGGGATTGGCTCAGCACAATATCTCCTTCCCATTGAACCAACAAGGGAGAAATGAGTTCGGTTTCTTAAAGGGAGTGTTCGTGAAAAATGAAAGGGGGTATAGGCTTAATGCGATAAAAAAGCGCTTTTGATCGCCACTAATCTTACTTCTATCTGTTGCGTCTATAAGGAGAAAATTGTTAAAGACGTCTCATACCGAATAACATGGCGTCCATACAAATTGAGAAAATTGAAACATACTATTTAGACCGTAAAAAAATCAATTTAATTTTAAACAAATCATTCAGATATTACAACCTATAGTCATCGATTATCTTTCGCCACATTTATATATAGTTGATTTTTCATAATATGTTTTAATTTTTATGATCTGAGAGTTACTTATAAAAACATTTATTCCTGTTTCAAGGATTTTTGGTAATGAAGACGACATTTTCATATTTTCCAGGAATGTTCGAAAACAAATTGTAAGCTAAATATTATTTTAAAAAACAAAATCAAAACTAGTATGAAATATCAAATATATACAAATGTGGCGAAAGATAATCGATAACTTAAGGTTGTAATATCTGAATGATTTTTTTGATATTAATTTGATTTTTTTACGGTCTAAGTCATATGTTCCAACTTCCTCAATTTGTATGGGCCCTACGCTCTCTTCGGTATGAGACGTCTTTATCAATTTTCTCCTTATAGACGCAACAGATAGAAGTAAGATTAGTAGCGATCAAAAGCGCTTTTTTATCGCATTAAGCCTATACCCCCTTTCATTTTTCGCGAACACTCCCTTTAAGTCTGAATTCAATCTTGTTTTGGTCTGTAATTTAAAAAGCGTGAGAAAAACTTTTTGGTTAATTAAGGAACGAATATTCAGCATGCTGATTTTACAGTTCGGTCATTGCCCAAATATTTTGGCAAAGATTAAACAATTTTTTTTCTTTTATACCTTTTTCGTTTGGATGTGTGTATAATAATAGAATAAAAAGATAACTGCGTAACATTAAATATTGTTATAAGTTTAATCTCTAAAAATTAGTTTACCTAAGTTTCCATTGTCCCGCCTCCATAGTCCCACAATCCATTGTAACCATGACAGCCCTCTCCACCCTGTTTCCTTCTCCATCCGGATGTAAATGTTCTCTACTCCAAACTACATCAAACTCTCGTCTACATCTCACCTCACCCTGCACCAGGTTTATAGGACTTAAACTGTGTGAACACGAACATAAGAAACGCTAAAATGACTTGATCCAATTTTTTCTAATTTTACAGAGACTGGCTGGTCGAAATTACACGAAAAAAAAGGTGGCTTAAAACAATACTAAAAAGTGAAGGCAACCCAAAAATTTAGAATTTGTATGTAAAAGATTTGAGTTTAAATTACAAATTAAAAAAATCATTGTTCAACATTAGCCAGGATTAACATTCCTTATTAAAATTGTATTTTAATTGTACAACATGTACCTGTGGATCTGTAATCGTACCAATTAGCATGGAACTGTACAGCATGTACATATTTACCTGTGGATCTGTAAGTGTACCAACCATGTACAGGGTGTCTCCCACAACTTCATTTTTCTCGTTTTTCCGAATATTTTGAATTATTGCCAAATCACCTTTCATTTCATTTGAACTTTTCTTGCATTCGCCACTAAAATTGCAATGCTTAATTTTAACGATAAAGTTTTTTGTTATAAAAATAGTATGCTACAGTGAGACCCATAACATTTTGTAATTGGAGGACGATTTTTAGACTCAAGTCTTAATTGTAAAAAGTCCAATGGACATGAAACACAATAGTTCACTTAAAAAGTTGGAATTTTAGAAATTAGTTAAACTATTTACTTTAGAATCACATCAAATACACATAAAATGTCGTCTTCCTATTCCACAGATGTTTGGGTATCCCTGCTACCTAATACTCTCCGGCGAGGCATGAAACCATAGTTCTGTAAATACTGCTGTGGCTCCGGCAGGATGAAATGGGAACGGAGTATTCACTGAAACCGGTTTCTTTGTATCCGAACCCTCCTCCGACCAACCTGGAGACCAATTGAAATAATTTCGCAAATAAAGCGTGAAAGTGCGAAGTAGAAATCAGGCTTTGCCACAAACTCAAATTTTGTAATCCTTATATATATGTGCAACCTGATGGTGGAAATCTTTGATATTTTTTAACTTAGTTTATTTGATCTAACAGACATCATTGTTAACCATTAATTTTAAAACCTCTATAAAATGTCGTCTTCAACTCGAATCTCCTGTCGGAGACAGCCAAACCAAACTTTCAGCCCGCAATTCCCTTGTTCTCCTCCGACGGAGTTTAAAATATTTTCGTTGTTGTGAAATCATTAAAGTTAAGCAAAATATTTTCACAGGAAGCATTAGTGAATTTCGTTAAATATTCAACTATAATTTTTCAGAAGTTAAAAAAACGTATTTCAATACTGATCAACAAATAAGTCACCCCCGACCATAATCAAATAATTCGTAAGATTTTTTCTACTATTAACATTTATTATAACATTGTACAAGTAACCATGATCTATAATCTATGTTATTTTTTTTAGGAAATAAAGATTTTGTTATCGAATTTCTGAGACGGGGTTACTCTGTTGTGTGTGTGTTGTTCGGCCATCGGGAAAGAATTGTCTGGGGATAATAAACATCCCCACCAGAATCCTAACCGGCCTACTATCCTAATTTGTCTAGCGTGTTGCTGTTTTCCGTCAACAATCATAGTTTGAAATATTTATGGTCTACGTCATAATGGGGGGCAAAGATATAGGGATTAGAAAATTAGAGTTTGTGACAAAAACTCAATTACTTTGCTTCAAAATTATTGTGTTATAATTTGGCAAAGGAATTGAGTTTTATCAACAATCTCTGAATAAATTTTTAATCCATATATCTTTTTAATCCGATGTCGTGCATTTCAAACGATGAATTATGTTATACCAAAAAAGAGAATATGCATCATATTAAAAAATAATAGAATATCCGCGAATGAGATTATCATGCAAAACATGCAAGAGTATCATAACAAGGAACTCATTACTCATAATAAACAATAATTTTATTATCTGTATATTTTTGCAATTTATGTCGTGAAGACACCTTTGATATTTCAAACTTTTGAATACTGTTTCCAAAAGAAAATTTTTGAAATATCAAAGGTTTACGTAATCATGTTGCAAGGATAAAGCGAGTAGAAAATTAGAGTTTGTGATATTTTAATTAATATACCTGTGGCTCTAATGACTCTAAGATCTCCTTTAGGGAAGCAAATAGCCTAAAACATTTTTATTCAGAATTTTAATTCTTGGTTAAAAAATGTGAATGAGAATTATCATACTTAAATAATTTCAGGTCGTCTTTAAGGTCTTATCATTTGTATGTAATCTGTATATGTACAACTGCATGTAATTATTTTGGCATGGTTAGTTTTTTCTTCTTCCACTTATTTTCTTTTTTGTCTTTTTATTATTATAGTTAAGTATGATTAGGATTAATGATAATTTGACTTAGTTCAATTACTGATTATTGATTCCTTGTATGGATTAATATTAAAAATTAATAAAGATGATGACAAACAAATAAATTATTTCAATAATAAATGTGACTTATAGATAGTGTTTTTTTAACAGAGGCTTATGGGACAGAATTCAGAAATAATTATTTTTGAATTTTTAAAAAATTAACTAAGAAATGAAAGTTGGCAATGTGACACATGTTTCTTCATCAATTTTACAGAATTTTTTTAATAAAAAATAATAAATAATAAAACTCTTCTAATTATTTTTTTCAAAACACCTTCCTCTACCCTTTGTCTATTTTTCTATTTCCTACATCTTTAAAGTTAAAAAGTTTTTAAGTTATTAAGAAAGAACCACAAAGGGGGGAACACCCCCCCCCCCATCCCCAATCGTGATAGGGTTAATAATGTAAATTAGAAATACTTTTTTAAAAAAAGGGCAAAAAACTAACATGCATTCTGAGCCGTGAAGTTTAGAAGTGAGACAATGAGCTGACATAAGTTCTCATGCACCATAGTTTAAGTAGAAGTAGATATTGCCATTTACTGTTTAGCGCCGATTGAAGGATTCATATCTCTAATTGGATAATTAGATAAATAGAAAAATAGATGTTACCGCTATACTATTTCTATTGATTCAGAATAGACAACAAACACATGACAGAACCCTGATTGGATCAGGCGCTAATGGACTCGGCATACAGGAGTTAATGAGTTCAACTCCAAACCTTTCTTTAATTTTCTAATTCTGGTCATAAGTGATGTCGAAAAATTAAAAGTAATGAGTTAAACTTAAAGTTTCAGTTTAGGTATGTCATACAAAAGTTCCAGGCTCTGAATGATTTATACATGTATTCTGTCATGAATGCACCACCTGAGGAATAACGTTGTATTTAGTTCTTACTGCATAGGGTTGTGGTGTAGCATGAACCTAAAAACCAGTATTTTAGTTCTGTCCGCATTTAAGTTTTTTTTAATAATAAATATCAAGAAATTTTATTTGAATTGTGTATGAAATAGAAGGGAATGTCAGATTCACAACGGTGGCCTCAAAGTTTTGTCGAATCAAAACTGATTGAGCTACCTTGACTACTTCTAATTGGGATTTCTTTATAAAAGGGATTGCGGATTTTTGGTAACAGAAACATAAAGTTGATTGTCTGAATTAAACACTTTTCAAGGTAGAAAAATGACTTTGTCTAAATTATTACTGATATTTAAATGGTGGGTATCTTGAAATTATTCATCCCTTTAAACGATTCAAGATATCTTGAGAACAAAAATAACAATCTTTGACTGAGGAGTCAGGACTTAGCTTTCCGTATACCTGAAAGTCCAAAACATATGCATATTCCTAAAAAAAGAGCATTCGAAAATTATCTTAAAAAAACGATTTTCTAAAATTTTTTAAAGAAAATTATTTTCAAAAAACGGTTTTAAATGCTCTGTTATCCCTGAACGCTCTTGTAATGCCTGTGAAAGGGTAAACTACAGCAAGATTGGGCAGGATGGAGTTTAGGGAATACATGAACTGAACTTAACTTCAATCCTCTACACAAACAATCCGTTCCAGTTTTCAGTTATAAAATAATATCTATTCTAAATTGAAATCTTGAAAGTTTACAATTATAATTTGGACTGTTTTTAAAGAACTATTGAGAAGAACAAAAATGTCTTGAATTTTTAAATGTATCCAAATAAGTTGATACACTGCTAAAAGTGTATTTTAATAAATTGATACACTGCTAAAAGTGTATTTTAATAAGTTGATACACTGCTAAAAGTGTATTTTAATAAGTACACGTAGAAAATGAAAAAGCTTTTTATTTTTCAAAATTTGTTTCTAAAAAGTTCGTTGCTCTCCTTAAAATAGAATGTTAAATATTCTTATCATCACGTTATTGATTCCAGCTTTTTTATAACTATTTCTGAATGTTTTATGGGATTCTATTAAAGTGATTAGTCGGCTTGTTCTGATAGCTTTTCTTTTATCTTACTAACCAGAAGGTAACATGAGGGAACATAGTGAGCTGTTGTTCAGTTTTATTTATTTATACTTTTATTGTTATTGATAAGCAGAACTGACTTTGGTAAATGCGTCGCATGAGTCAGAAAAGTATTGCTGCAAAATCGGAGCCATTCTTTTGAGATCTGTTGACTGGACAAATGAAAATTTAAAAACGTTTTTTAGTCATTTTTAAAAAGTGGGTTGATATAGATGAGAACGTTTTATTTCCTGTTTTCTTTGCTCATGATATCTCCTCTTAAGCTTAAATACTTAAATGCGTTCTCCATTAGTTGATACAAAACCTTAAAAAAAATTGGGCAAAAATTCTTTTTTTTAAATCTAATCATAAAAAATCTTGATGTTCTTTAAGTTTATAAAGTCCAACCTGAGGTGACAGATATCTTCGTAACACTTTGTAATATTCATCAGTACTGCACAAAAATATTATTTAATTGAAATATAGTTTTTTTTATTTATTTATTGTGAATTATTTATACTTAATTACGTTAATTAATTCTTTATTGTGAATAACCTGTATTTAATTAGTGTTTCTCTGGTTTTCAGTTTATGTGGGTTACTTGTAGGAAATTTCCGAGCGAAAAAATACCTAAAAAATAAAATTTTGTAATTTTTTAATTTTTGCCAGTTTCTCAATAAAATTAATAAAATAAAATTTGGTTATAAATTTAGCTAATTTTGAGAATGTTTATGTTCTCCGAAATTTAAATCGATTAGTTTAATTCTCATGTCATGCTGTGTTCCTTGAGTTAAGAATATTCCTGCAGTATTTTATTTTTAAATTTACAAATTAGCTAGCTAAATAATATTTTTCAAAATATAAATTAGCTAAATATCTTTAACATTTATCCATTATTCATAATCAAAGAATGATATTATTGTCCTGTTTTTCATGTTTATCGGGGTATTTACCTATGAGTCATCTCAGCTAGTTCGCCTAGATCAGACTCGTCAATATCAGACGGACCCTAAACACTATAATATCAAAAATGACCCTAAACACAAATATCAGACGGACCCTAGACACTATAATTTCAGAAGAACCCTAAACACTAAAATATCAGACCAACCCTAGACACTATAATTTCATAAGAACCCTAAACTCTATAATATCAGACGGACCCTTAACAGCAGAATATTAGACGAACCCTAAACACTAACATATTAGACGGATCATAAACGCTAATATATCAGACGTGGAACCTAAACACTAATATATCAGACGGACCCAAAACACAATAGTTTCAGAAGAACCCTGAACACCAAAAATATCAGACGGAACCTAAACACCAAAAGTATCAGACGGATCCTAAAGTTCTACCTTTTTCGGGTTGGTTTGTAGAATGATAGACACTCTATTATGAAATGCATTCTTAGTATCTTATTTTTATAAATTGATTTCAGAAGCTCTTCTGGTCTCGCGGGATTTTCAAAAATTTCGAAAAATTAAATTGAAAAGTATAAGTATATTTTTTACTTTTTCTAAGCTAAAAACAGTCTAAGTTCATTAATATAATTTTAAGTGTTGAAGTGCTTAAGATTCAAGATATTTGACCTGTCCGCAGAAGTCCGCATCTCCAAGATGTTTACATAGATTGTATTTATCCTTCCCTTCAAACCTTAAACATACAGTGTGTACAACTTTATGTGATAAAAGTTGAGAATATATGTCGCTTTCAGAAACATTTTATCTATTTTGCTCTTAAGTTCTTAATATCTATAATTATGCTTTAAAAAAAACACTTGGAATAACAGAAAAATAAAAGCACTGTCTAAAATCAATAAAAACATTTTTTTGTATGTTCTGAGCTGAAAACTTTAGAATGAAATATCCAGATATCCCATCGGATAATTAATCTGAAGGTAAACAAGCAATATTTAATTCCGAGATTAAGAAAAAGAGTGGATTAAGCCTTAATCCCGATATCCACCATTCTAAAGTTTTCAGCTCAGATTATATATATTTTTGTTTGGCACTAGCATTCTCTATTGAAATTTTAATTCTTAACCTTTTGAGCCAGTAGAGGCCCACATGGTGAGTTTTGTCTCTAAAGGGACCATTCAGGGATAATGTACTGAAGTAACTCTCATCAGGAATAACTTAAACAAAAATATGAAAGAAAAGATTAAAAACTTTATTTTTCATCAGTTTTATGAAAACGAGAAAAAAAATTCAAAACAGCCTCCACCCACCCCCTTCCCCTATAACCCTTTGTTTGGACACTGCTGCTGCTACAAAAAAAAGTAGAAATGCGTTTCTAATACTGGCGGAAAACTTCTCCATTGAAAGGTGAGTGATTAGAATGGACATATAAACATGAAGATAGAGTTGAGAAGTGTATAGTTAGAACGTATAAACCTGAAGATATAGTTTTGAAGTGTATAATTAGAATGTATACGTATGAAGATAGAGTTGAGAAGTGTATAGTTAGAACGTATAACCTGAAGATAGAGTTCAGAAGTGTATAATTAGAATGTATAAACCTGAAGATAGAGTTGAGAAGTGTATAATTAGAATGTATATACATGAAGATAGAGTTGAGAAGTGTATAATTAGAATGTATATACATGAAGATAGAGTTGAGAAGTGTATAATTAGAATGTATAAACATGAAGATAGAGTTGAGAAGTGTATAATTAGAATGTATATACATGAAGATAGAGTTGAGAAGTGTATAATTAGAATGTATAAACATGAAGATAGAGTTGAGAAGTGTATAATTAGAATGTATATACATGAAGATAGAGTTGAGAAGTGTATAATTAGAATGTATAAACATGAAGATAGAGTTGAGAAGTGTATAATTAGAATGTATATACATGAAGATAGAGTTGAGAAGTGTATAATTAGAATGTATAAACATGAAGATAGAGTTGAGAAGTGTATAATTAGAATGTATATACATGAAGATAGAGTTGAGAAGTGTATAATTAGAATGTATAAACATGAAGATAGAGTTGAGAAGTGTATAATTAGAATGTATATACATGAAGATAGAGTTGAGAAGTGTATAATTAGAATGTATAAACATGAAGATAGAGTTGAGAAGTGTATAATTAGAATGTATAAACATGAAGATAGAGTTGAGAAGTGTATAATTAGAATGTATAAACATGAAGATAGAGTTGAGAAGTGTATAATTAGAATGTATATACATGAAGATAGAGTTGAGAAGTGTATAATTAGAATGTATAAACATAGAGATAGAGTTGAGAAGTGTATAATTAGAATGTATATACATGAAGATAGAGTTGAGAAGTGTATAATTAGAATGTATAAACATGAAGATAGAGTTGAGAAGTGTATAATTAGAATGTATAAACATAGAGATAGAGTTGAGAAGTGTATAATTAGAATGTATATACATGAAGATAGAGTTGAGAAGTGTATAGTTAGAATGTATAAACCTGAATATAGAGTTGAGAAGTGTATAATTAGAGTGTATATACATGAAGATAGAGTTGAGAGGTGTATAGTTGAAACGTATATACATGGAGATATAGTTGAGAGGTGTATAGTTAGAATGTATATACATGGAGATAGAGTTGAAAGGTGTATAGTTGAAACGTATATAAATGGAGATATAGTTGAGAGGTGTATAGTTAGAATGTATATACGTCGAAGATAGAGTTGAGAGGTGTATAGTTGGAACGTATATACATGGAGATAGAGTTGAGAGGTGTATAATGAATGTATAAACCTGAAGTCTGCATATGGAAATCATAAGTTCTCCAGGTAGGATGATGAGAGGTTGTGTTGAGTATATACTGGATAAACTCATGGGATAATGTAGCCCACTGTATCCACAGTTTAGTAAAGCTTAATTAAAATAAAAAAAAAATTGAAGTAATTTTTTTGATCAAATTAATAGATAAATCTTTTTTATGATAAAATTTAACTTTTCAATCTTAACAGTACATAACTAAAATCACTATCAAACCCAACATTACTATAAGTAATCTAGAATGCACTATAAACATGATTATCATGCATTCCGTTAGGAATATCAATTCATCTCCTACCATTAAGTTAGATGGATTTTTACTTTTAATCTTTTAGATTAAAAGAATGTTCGAAAAAAATATAGAGCATAGGAGTCACCAAAATTAAAACAAAAAGGAACTGAATTCTTGCCAAAAAACTCTTGTTTTCTAATCCAAATATTTTTGCAACCCGATGTCGTAGACCTTTGATATTTCAAACTATTAATTTTGTTAGATCAATAGTCTAAGTTTGAAACATCAAGGGTTTAAACCTCCAGGTTACAAAGATATAGGGATTATAAAATTTGAGAAAAAACTCAATTTTTTTCTCCATCTCTGCTGCCTGAGGAAGCAACACTTACAATCATGTTTTATTCAATATCTTCTTAACTTTTCCAAATAAATTCCCTGATTACTTTAATTATGAAAAGAAAGAAAACTTTTAATTTAAAAATTGCAGATTCCTGTGAAGCAGTTTTAATCTCCAGCTGTTGATTGTTAGGTTGACCGGCACTCCGGGTCACGTTATAGGTAAATCCGTCACAAGCAAACCAGGCTTCTTTACATAAACCTTGATCCTAGATATAAAAACCTTGATCCTAGATATATAAACCTTGATCCTAGATATATAAACCCTGATCCTAGATATATAAAAACTGATCCTAGATATATATATATATACCCTCATCCTAGATATATAAACCCTGATCCAAGATATATAAACCCTGATCCTAGATATATATGTACCCTCATCCTAGATATATAAACCCTGATCCTAGATATATATAATCCTAGATATATAAACCCTGATCCTAGATATATAAACCTTGATCCTATAAGATATATAAACCTTGATCCTAGATATATATATCTTGATCCTATATATATTTACCCTGATCCTAGATGTTTAAACCCTGATCCTTGATATATATACCCTGATCTATAGATATACAATATACATACATTTCAAAATAAATGAGATTTTGCCACAAAACTCAAATTATTTTATCTTTGCAACCCTATGTCTGTATAGACCTTTGATATTTCAAACTATAAATTCTATAAAATAGTCTAAGTTGGGTTAGAAAGTTAGATTTTGTTGGCAAAAACTAAAAACTGTCAGTGTGAGACAAAATATTTAATAATGGTGATAAATTAGACATTTAAGTACTTAAGCTTGCAATGAAATTTGTGCAGTTTTGTATGTTCCTTCGTTTCTTTTTATAAACTGTTGTATTAAATGTCCTCTACACTAAAAGAAGAGTTAAAACTATGTTACAATAGACACCAATAAAGGCATGCATAATTTTTAACGTACGTTTCAAATTAAAAAGTATAAAAAACAACTCTGTGAGTTTAATGATTGTTTAATTATAAACGAAAATGCGATTGAATTTAAATTAGCGAAACTGAACGTATCTAACCCAACTGGTTCGTTAGTTCATGGGAAAACTTGGGAGGGTCGTTGGTTTTTGTAAACAGTAAACTTTGGATTGTTACATTTTATTCAAGTTTTTGCAAAGCATTCAGATCATGGATTAACTAAAATAAAAGATAGGACACTAGATGTCGTCTTTTCAAGATTTGGATGAAACTCGTTCACAATAATCCTGAGGCAGAAGCCCAGAGGAGTTTCGCGCAGTTGGCGTAGAATTACAAGACAGAGAGAGTCTGTTTTACGTCGACTGCGCAAAACTTCTCTGGGCTTCTGACTCAGGGTTATTATGAACGAGTTACATCCAAATTTTGAAAAGACGATATCTAGTGTCCTATCTGTTATTCTAATTAATCTTTGATTCAGATAATCAACCATCCGCTCACTCATGTAAGATACTTGTGACGTCACTCATAACGATTCAGTAGACACAACACACTCGTATTTCATATCATAAAATTTACTTATGTACGTGGGTTGTACAGATGAAACTTTTTAAACACGATTTTTGTAAATTTGGTTTCATGGCTGCAATAAAAGTTTTATCTACATTTTTTTGTTAACAAAGTTTTTTATTCGAAAATAGTAAAATTTCTGACCCTGAAGGAAAATTTGGTCATCAATATCAGGTTTCATGTATAAATAAATCTATGTTTTTGTTTACTAAAATGGAAATGTTTATATTAGCATTCCAAATATGAGAGAGATAAATTTATTTTTTCAAACTTCTGATAATATTTCAACATAAATAATCCTTCACTCTCAATCCTTCAATCAAATTATACAAAAGTAAAATTTAGAATATTTTTTTAATTCCACTGCACAGGTTGGAACTTTTGGAAGGAGAGTTCTTATTTAAAGCGATTCAAATAATTTAAAGTCATTCTTTCATTGAACAAACAAAAATATATAGATAATCAGATGTAACTAAAGATAGTTTATGAAACATATATCTGTTCTTTTATTTATATATCTAGGATGTATGTTAATATATTTATACCTAAATAACACGGCGTTGCCTAGGTTTTAAAAACACAGTGAAATATTTTATTAACCTTTGTCACTACCGGGGTGTCTTTAGGTAAATTGCCTTAAAAACATTCAGCTTATGAGCTAGCAAAGAACTTTATTGTAAAAATGACGTGAATACGACTAAAGTTGTATGGGTTTATGACTCGGTCGAAATTAAAAATTTCATCCAGACAAATTTCAATATTTTGAATTTTTAGTAATCCTTTAATGTAAACATAAAAATCCGGGAAATGTGTAGTTTCGTTAAGTTCGACGACAATATGGCGGCTTAAAAAAAATCATTCATTTAAAAGCGAAAAAGTGTGACTTAAAAAAGGACGCATAGCCCTAAAAGCCAATAAATAAGTATATGTATATTATGAGTGTTCAGTATTTATATATTACTGATTTGTCATTTATCTTGGTTCCATTTTCTTGGCTTTGAGTTGTATAGAATCTAAGATAAAATTTGGCAGGTTGAGGTAAATGAGAGCTGAAGAATAATTAGTCGATATATCCCCTTATTAAAACCTTCCCTGGGGCCACGTGAGGTCCCCCACAAAATTTGGGCCTGATCGGTTCAGCCGTTTTTACGTTTATTGGATACAAACAAACAAACAGACAAGCTAAATTTATATATAGATGCATATAATATATAACATCTTTTACAATATGTTTAAGGGTTTAGTATACACAGCTATCAGTTTTGAAAATTTCAAAACAATTTTTTCAACCGAAAATGCTGATCCCTTCTATTAAATACCTTGTTTAAATCTGAATTTCTGATGTTTCCATGAAATGCGAAGAAGTTCTGTCCCCTGTACGGAGCTAGAGCAAACCCAAGATCATCCACACTTCTATACTTAGATTATATTTTTAAAAGGAATGTGCTTGTTGTTTTATATGACTCTCTATTTACTGAGGGACTTGCCCGATTCACAACGGTACCCTTATAAACTTTAACTAACCATGGAATGTGAACTATATCGTTATTTTTACCAGTACCGTTGTGAATCGAGTCCACCACTCAATAAGTAAAGAGTCACTCGAAATAAACTGTACAGTCCCTTTAAATATTGATTACTCACATCTAACTGATTATCAAGTTAGTTTGAAATTTTGTTCGGACCAAAATAATATCTTCATGGTTTTGGAAAGCAATTGATATTGATAAAATTTAAAAATGAAAATAGTTTGCTTTTCACGTTATTGTTTGGTTCTGCCAGTAACTTCTTCATTTTGCCTCATTAATTAACGGATTTTCGGGATTTACATTTTGTCTAGGTATATATAACTACCAAATGAAAAAGATAAATCTTGTAAAGTTTTTAACGTGCCTAACATTTGAGGGTTTGGAGGGCATATTATGCTTGGGACCTGTTCTGGCTCTTCATCTAATGTTTCGAAAAGGGGTGTCTTTGTATGTTACATAAAGGGAATCATAATATCAAAGTAAAAAATCAAACCAAACATAAATCCAACTAACTGACCTGATAGAGAGATCTGATCCACTCATATTTATCATAAAATCCCAAACTCCCATCCTCAACAGCTCCTCAAACTGCTCTAGGTGTGCACGAACTGTAATAACACAAAAACTAGATTTTTTAACTTTCAGAACTATCGTTTGTAAATAGTAATACAATAACGTGTATTGAAGTATAACACAGAATCGTCCGTAGACATTTTAGAAGGGAATTACCGATTCACAATGGTACAATCTAAAAAAAAATTTCATAAAGGAGGACGAAAATTTTTTCGGCAATCAATATTTGGCTCTAAAAATAAGAATCATTTCGTCGTCGATGATCAGACAAAGATTTAAATAGAATACTGTTGCGAATCAAACATGCCAATCTACAAATAAAGTTTAACTTAACATTACGTCTAAAGTCCCATTAAATTCTAGATATTGTATTCCTAATTAAAGGTTAAGTTTAGTTTTATATTTCCTATATGAAAAGATCCCCAGGATGTTGTCCAGGATCTATGCTTCGGGAGAACCCTGATATTTCGAGCAGGAAGGCTCAAGGAGAGTTCCCGGATCAATTCTTCCCGTATATCATCCTTCAAAACAAATAGTATAAACCAGAATGTACATGACGCTTCCTGAATTTCTAATTTTGATCAGATTTAGAACAAAAAATTTTTAATCCCTATTTCTTTGCAACCTGGGATATTTCAAACTATAAATTCTGTTAGATTAAACAAATTAAGTTTGAAATATCAAAGGTTTACACCATCAGGTTGAAAAGATAAAGGGGTTAGAAAATTCGAGTTTGTGGCGAAGACTCAATTCCTTTTATAATTTCTGTAAGATCAAACCTTTCTATAATCGACATGAAGGACGTAAAAGTTGTTAGGTCTATAGATGACCCGGAGAAGCTGAAGGATTGCGGGTACATCCTTGTGAACCAGGAGAGCAAACCCTATCCTGACAGGAACTAGGTTCTTATGTTTGTATTTATCCAAGAGTTTAAACCGTTGAAGAATCTGAGTACTAGGCCTGGATCCAGGTTCAGGATATGCGGAGCCGGACCATACATCCGTCCCGTTCCAGGGAACATTTCCAGGTTTAACTAGGAACGGAGGAACACATTTTCCCATTCTATCAAACTGGAATCCACAGTAGACCATTATTACTCTTGATTTACATTTCTCACTCCTAAACATGGAACAATATTTCTTTGAGTGAGATTATTTGGTGATTTGGATAGAAAGATAGATGGTTGGATGGTTATTTGGTTGGATGGATAGATGGATGGTTGACTGTTTAACAGGTTGGTTGTTTGATTGGTTGGTCAGTTGGTCATTTGGATGGTTGGATGATTGGATGGATGGATAATGGGATAATTGGATGGTTGGATGGTTGAATGATTGGATGGTTGGTTGGTTGGTTGGTTGGTTGATGGGTTGGTTAGCTGGTTGGTCGTTTGGAAGATTAGTTGTTCTGTCGGTCTGTTGGTTGGTTTTTTAGTCAGATGGATAATTAGATGGTTGGTTGGTTGGTTGGTTTGTTTGTTGGTTAGTCGGTTACATAGATGGTTGGTTGGTTAGATAGATGGTTGGATGGAGGGATGAATGGTTGATTAGGAATTTCATTAAACCCGATTTATTAAGAATGTTCACCTGATTCTACTGGTCAGATGCCAGGTATTCTCTGCAACTGTCGAGTTCTCAAGCTGTTCTACCGGAGTACAGGTCCCTCTGTATCCAGCAGAGTACGGTTCTATCGGACACCCGGAGTCAAATACAAACTTCTCCGGAACTGCTCTGTCTGTTAGAACAGTATTCTCAAAATCTTCAATCCCAAAATCTAGTTTGGATTGAAAAACTATATTTAGTACACTGTTGATCCTCTCCTCAACCTGATCCGGAGAAAAGTTTTCAATCCTGGTTTTGAATTCGTCCCGGACACAGGTTATATTCAGGTTGATATTTTTCCGAGATCCTGGGTTCGGATCCTTCTGACAAAACTCATTTCCGAAATTGAAAACACAAGCTTGGTAAACCAGACACCTACAACATAAAAAACATGTTCATAGTGAGAAGAGCGCAGGATTATAATAGAAAGAAAATCAAGCCATTTTACCATCTTTTTTATTTAAAGAGAAGTCATTAACTCATTAGGCAGTGCAATGTTTTATTTCAGAAAGACAATCCATGAAGATTTTTGTTCAGATATAGACAAGTTTGGTTTTCTTTAATAAATCGATATTTTTGTAAATGTCTAAAGGAATTTTCTGATTTTGTTTCAGAAATCAATAACCCTACTTGTAAAGCTTGGCTTTTATTTTAAAGATCAAAGACGACCTTAAAGCCGTCTCTAAACTATCATGTATCATGAGACACAGTCCAGCGTATCACACAACTTAAGTATTTGATAGGAGTTGGAGAAGTTCTACATTAAAAAAAGAAACTTGAGATGTTGTTTTATTCACTAATTCAAAAAATCCTCCCCAATGATTCTCGCGCATCTCTGGTCGGTTAATTTACATTGTCTATACGCAATATCCGCTCTACGGAATTTCTGACCTACTGACTTTCCGACCTACTGCAATATCCGACCTACGACAATTGTTTATTTATTATTATTTGAGGGCTAGGTTAGGTTAAAACTATTTCTGGGCCGAGTGCCGTGGCTAGGACAGGCTAGGTGGCCGAGCGCCGCGGCTAAGACAGGCTAGGGGGTCGGGCTCTGTGGCCAAATGTCCTACTAGAACCTGCAAAACCACGTGTGAGTAGGTCGGAAGTATAGTATAGCGGATGATGCAAAGATCAGAAGTGTAGTATAGTTGATGTGCGTAGGTCGAAAAATACACCATCCTTTGATCATTCCTCAACAAATACTTTTTATAATTAAGACGACCTATCATTTCCTCTTTTTGACGAAGTAGTATCTGCAAAACATATAGTCGTGTGATATGCCAGACCGGTGTGACGTGTTCAACCCTTAGAACTAACCTAGATAGCGGAGGGCAGTGTTCCTCTGGTTCCAGTTCATTCTCCATCTCCTTCACTCCACCCTGCAGGCCGGATACTGCTGTGTAATGGAATACTGCTTGCTTGTGTTTAAGATCAGGGTTGGATTCAATTTGCTCCCGGGATAGGAGCAGGGACGAACTCAACTCTCCGATAAAATATCCTGATCAATTTCAAACATTTTTAACAACGGCAAGCTGAGGGTTTTTTCAAGAAAATATATTTAAATTTCCAGTCAAAATATAGATTTAACAATTGAACACATTTATTTTCCAGTAATCAAACAAAAAACATATGAATATTTGATGCATATGGGCTAAAACTACTTGATAACATTGAAGACGAGCAATACGCCCTCGAACATTTTTGACAAACCATATTTAGAAGAAAACAAATACTCTTGAAATATTTTTGTTACAGTGATAACCAAGAAAAAGTGGAAAAGTTGTCGTTTTTCTTTATCATTATCAGGCCCCTCTACGAATTTGGTCATTACGGATTAATTTAATTCCTCTTTGATGTCACTTGGTGACCATACCCTGCAGAGATAACTCTAATTGAGGGATCACGCATTAATCCTCAAATTGAAAAGTGGCTCCAATGGATATCGAGATTTTCCTGTTTTATTGATAAGCCCTTTACCTTTAGGACAGAGAAGGTAGGTTCTCTGATCCGACTCCTGTAGGACGTATTCTCTTCTCACTGTATCCGTCCCACCATTTTCAAAGTAAAGATATTCTGTCCAGGCTGGAACCGTTCGTCCTTGCTCCGGGATCTCAAATGGTTTGAACCCTCCTACTTCATGAAGCACCAGGAGAACTGTTGAGATTAAAAACAAACTTTTCATTCTTTATGCAAATATAAAGTTTTCTAAAATAAAAACAGAAAATAGAAAAAAATCGTAAATTTTAAACTACCGGTTGTTTCTCTGCAGTAAAAGTTTCTTGCAGTTCAATTCAGTGACAGTTAAAGGAAGAACATTTTTTTCCACAACCTCTAATTTTCTTATCCCTATATCTATGCAACCTGATGGTGTAATTCTTTGATTAAAATTAAACTTTTTGATGCAACAGTTACACAATTCTTCGTTTGAAATATCAAAGGTCTACGACACTGGGTTTCAAAGATTCACATGCAAACGAGTCATATGACAAGGCAGGCTGTCCACGGATACGTCGAAAATCACCTTAAAAGTCCTAAGTTTAATGTAATAATAAATTCATGTTACAGTACGAGGAAAAGGTCGGAAAGGTAGGAATTTAGTGGAGCTTTCATATTCCCATACATTCTTAAATGGCAGTGGATATAGGTATGATAAAATCAGAGTTTGTCGGAAAACTACGTCCTTTTGTGAGAAAGGAATTGAGTTTTTGCAACAAACTTACATTTTCTAACCCCTATATATTTGCAACCTGATGGTGTAAACCTTTTATATTTCAAAATTAGACTATTTGATCTACCAGAATTAATAGTTTGAAATATCAAAGGTCTAGAAAAACGGGTTGCTAAGTTATAGGTATTAGAAAATCTGAGTTTGTGGCAAAAACTCAATTCCTTTAAACCTTTTCTGAAACCTGAAGTATGAGTTTAAATTGAATGAATCAGACATCACACAAAGATTACACCACGTATGTTATGCATAGGTTTGTGTATTAAATATGTTTTTTTTTTGTAATTTATACTCATTTTACTCAGACTTTTTACGCTTGTTAAAATATAACACTCGTCAAATCTCGAATTTATCTGAAGTTATCACTTGATAAAGATGAATAAAATAAATATTTATAAAGATCGAATTTCCCAAAAAAATTTCATCGAAAATAAAATGTTTAGAATAAACTATAAAGACATGTTAACTTGATATTTGCGAAGTACCGACTATTCGGTCAGAAGTACATGTGTGTCCAGTAGGTTTACCACCTGCAACTAATTCTAGCTTTATCGCACTTGTTCATAATCAAAACAGGTCAATAATTTATATCTATGAAATATATTTATTCATATTAAACACTTTCTATTTCTTTGTTCAGAAGATATATAGGTTCTGCAATGTCCAATACATTTATTGCACAAGAAGGACTTGGCTGTCTATCGTCTCCAAATCTAATTTTTTTACTACCTGATGTTGTAATACTTTTCAATTTCAAACTTTCACAATTTGATTTACCAGATTTAGTAATTTGAAAACATAAAGGTATACGACATCTGGATGTAAAGATATACGGATTAGAAAGTAGAATAGAAAAGAAAAGAGAAAATTTGGTTGGAAGAAAAAGCCATGGGAGATTTCGAAGAAAAGTTATCTCCTCAAACGAATATCCATAAATTAAACCCTAATATTCAGAAATGATGGTAAGGAGAAGGGGAGAGGGACTTGTTTATATTTTACTTTGAACATTAGGGAGATGAACAATCGGTAGCGCTGTATAGTGATTCCACAGACCCAGCTCTCCATACCTTGCTCATAATAATGCTTAGCTGTATACATATTCGCAATGTTTCCCTTTAAATATTTTAAAATCCTTTCAATTATTTATTAAAATTTCCTGTTTTCTTTAGGAAAATTTTTGAACAGTTGTTTTTTTAAAGGTTATAACTAGTGGGCCTTGGGGATTTTTGCAGTTTAGAAAAAGAAGGAGTTTGATAGAAATCATCCAAATCATCCCCTAATGGAAAAGAAAATCGACGATATCTTCCTCATTTTTGCTCAAGGTAAAGGTTAAGATTACCGTTGTGAATCGGGGATTGGAACTTTTTAATCAGGAAGACACTCAAAACTTCGAGTATGTATCTTTTAAGGCGCAGGGTTTTCTTAAACTTAACAGTTTTACAGGTTGTGAGGTCTCATAAAGTCACATTTTTATTGTTGACATAAAAAGTTGAAGAATCAAAAGTCATGAAAATAATTAGAAATTTATTTTCTCGAATCAGATTTTATAAAAAAAAAAACTTTGACAACCATTTTTTTCTTTAGCACGAGGATAACTGAAATTCTACTGATCAAAAATGGCAAAACCGTTCTTCGCTACAATATAAAATCAAATTTTTATCAAATTAAAATTTTTTGTTTAATTTTAGAATTTTTTGTAACTATATATGCTTATTCAAAAATAATATTAAATTTTTTTGAGAAAACTCTTTACAATTATTTTTATAAGCGATAGGTTTACTGACGTATTATCCATATTGAAAACACAATAAAACTATTCATAATTGATTAAAATAAAAAAGCATTGTCAAAACTAATTGGAAACAGTTCAGCATTTTTGTTTAAACTCGAAATTGATCTTCATACAATGATGTTCTTAACGTTTACTAAAACTAGTTTTTACAGTAGCTTTGGTTTTTGTTGTTGCACGCGATCTGCTCGATTTATCGGACTTGTTGGACTCGTCGGAGTAGTAGTCGTCGTCATCCACCTCGCTTGCAGCTCGCAGGTCAACAGGGGTATTCACCTGAACAAGGAAAATATTTTTTACAGCGGGTTTAATAAATCTTATTTTCTAATTTACAATTCAAAAGAGCTGTCACGTGATTTCAAGTTCCACTCAATATTAAGAATTATTACTAGATTGGGAACCCAGCTTTGCCTGGAGTTTTCCCTATAAACTACTCAACTTAGAATTTTGAAACCAGGTAAAAACAGGGGGGCTGGATCTTAGCTACCTCAACCGTGTGTATTAGCCTGAGTGTACACTTAGTATAGTTTACTGATAAAGGATATTACGAGATTATGGCCTAATGATACAGTACAAATATCAAATATGAAGTACGCTTTCGGAGTACAAGTGCATGGGGAGGTTTTGTATCTTAAATTTTACTGAGTTTTCTCACAACAGTTAATTAACAAGGAAATATTGCTCTATAAAAGTATAACCTCGTTGGGTAAAAACCATTTCCATCGTTCTGCTAAGTTCCCCAATTACAGTTTGAGGAAAATCGGTTCAGAGGTTCAATTAGTTATGATCGGACCATAGAATTTAGAATATATATTAGAGGGGAATTTACTACAAAAAAGTGTAAAACGGTCATTTTGTTGTTCTGTTTCCATACTGCAGGTGTACATCACATATTTATGCTATATAACCTTTTGGGCCCTGGAATATCATTTTATAGAAAATCTAAAATTAATGTTAAAAGAAAACCAAATAATTGACCAATGATCATTTCACATAGACTCTATACCTTACACTTTACAAACGACGATTTTCCATTATAACTATAAATCAAATGATGTTTTTTATTCACCTAATTCATTATAAAGTTTAAACAGCTTTAAAAAAAATCAAAATTGAAATGAATAGTCTAGGGAACATACTGTATTAATGTACTCTACTGCATTTAATTTGTGAACATTTATTGTACACTTTGAACTCCCTTTCAGGCTGAAAGGGACTGAAAAAATGCATACTGAGAGATTCTCTAAATTCCCCTCTAATATATATTCTATTCTCTATGGATCGGACATACAAACAAACAGAGATTACTACTTCATTAACTGAATATTCAATTAGAAAAGATTCAATGGATAACGTTGTGAATCGAGTATGGTACTCTTTGATATCAAAAAAGGGCTTGAAATCACGAATTATATTTGAATAAAAACTTTGTCTAAAATTAAATTATGGGACCAAGTTCAAATATATTTGATAAAGGTGAAACTATTTATTCGAAAATGTAAAATTAAAAATAGTTTGATTCAAGGCTAAAAACCAAACTTTTTTTAAAATTCATAATTTTTGATACCAATCTTGATTTAATTTGGACGATCTTTATTCTCTATCGGAATGATTGGAAAGTTATGCCAATATAATATTATATATTATTATCATAATATTTTTAAATTGAATCAAAGAAAATGTTGGTACTTTGTTCACAAAGAAACCCACCATGATTTAGTTTCCCAATTCCAAACCTCTGAATTCCAAATTAATGTCTGGAATGTTCTGCCCCAATATTAATATTTTATATTGAAACAAGGTCATGTTATTTCTGAATATCGTTATATAGTATCATAGGTATAAAAGGGGAAAGCTGTATATCAAACCATTAAATAAAACCATGGATTCTTGGCCCAACAAACCAGAAACTTCTACAATGAAGGCCAATTGAAATTGTAATTTTTTCATTGTTAAACATAAGCAAGTTATTCTATCTTTGTTTAAACACAATTTTATGAGTGAAATTTGTGAGAACGGAGATGGAATTTAAAGAATTTGAGCCGCGGTTTAAATCCGCCAAAACCTGGTTTAAATTAAGCGCCGGCTTAAATCTTGAAATATTTGATACAATTTTAAGTGGAACCAACCATATTTAAACCGCCGCTTAAATTCTTTAAATTCGGCCACGGATTACAAATATACGCTTTAATTTTAAATAAAATAATCAAATTTTGCTTGGCAATATTTTTCCGAATATTTAAATATTATGCATATCATGCATAGAAATACAAAAAGGAACCATTTACGCTAGACTTAGTAGAACTAATGTCAACAAATAATAGCTTTTGGGTATCTAGGGTTTAATTCTGGAATAATATTACCTTGGTAACTGGTATAGTACATATTACCTTAGTATCTCGTATAGAATTATTTTAGTATATGGGAATCTGGTATAATATTACCAAGAATTTGGGGTATCTAGTATATTATTATCTTGATACCTAGAATATCTGGTACAGTATTACTTTGTTATCTGGTATATATGATATAGTGGGGTATCTGGTATAACATTATCCTTGGTATCTGGGGTATCTGGTATAACATTACCTTGGTATCTGAGGCGTCAGGTTTATATGGTATGTTATTACCTTAGTATCTGGGGTATCTGGTACTGTGCTTGCTCTTCCCGCGATTGATTTAGCTCTGTATGGACTCCCAGGGCCTAGGAGTAGAATTATGTTATACAAGAACAAACAAATATCATTTGCCGTAGATACATATTAATTTTTCAGACATATTTGCCAAGTAATTGAGTCTTTGCCACAAACTTTAATTTTCTAATCCCTATGTCTTTGCAACCTGAAGTAAACCTTTGATATTTCAAACTTAGATTTTTACATTTAACACAGTTCAAAGTTTGAAATATATAAAGTCTACGATATTGAAATACAAAGATATATGGATAAGAAAATCAGAGTTTGTGGCAAAGACTCAATTCCTGTCTTAAGAATTCAAACTTTCAAAGCAATTCAAGCTAAATCTATAATAATTCAAACCAAACAATTATTCTTGGCCACAAAATATCTAACTTTCCCTATTTCTATGCAGCCCAATGTCGTTGACCTTAGATATTTCAAACTATGGATTCTGTTAGATCAAATAATCTAAGTTTGAAATATCAAAGGTTTAAATCAATGCAGGTTGCAAAGATATAAGAATAAGGAAATTTTAGTTTCTGACAAAGACTCAACTCCTTTTATATAAATTCAAAGAAAATGAACCCTTACCTGACTTTATTGCTCCATTCTTTGACAGCTGAGATTTTTTGTCTCCGCCTTTTCTGTAACATTTAAATATGAATTTTTATCATTATTAATTATCATTAGATTATAAAGAATTACCTAGATTTATCATAATCTGAATTATCTGAATCATATTCTGAATATTCCTCTGAATCTGAACCTGAATCCTTCTTTTTACTTTCCTTACTAGAGAACTTACTGAACTTGCTGTACTTGCTGATTCTGCTTGCAGCTCTGCCATCATCAGAGTCAGAATCTTTTTTAGATTTTCCACTTTTTGTAGATCTGTTTACAGACAACTTAGATTTTGTAGACTTTCCGCTATCAGAGTCCTGATCACTGTCAGAATCTTTTTTAGATCTAGCGCTTCCTGCAATGCTCTTTTTAGTGGTAAGTCTTGATTTCGTAGATTTCCCCCCATCAGAGTCATCGCTGTCGGAGTTATTTCTTGACTTATTGCTGTTCCTGGTGGTGAGTCTTGATTTCGTAGATTTTTTCCCATCTGAATCATCACTTTTGGAATTATTTCTAGACTTTGCTCCTCCAATACTCTTCCTTGTAGTTAATCTTGATCTGGCGGATTTTTTACTGTCAGAGTCACTGTCGGAGTTCTTGCTGGTCTTTTTACTATCATCAGAATCATTATCACTATCGTCTGAATTTGAGAGAGATGATTTTTTACTGTTGTTGAAGGTTTTGTTTAAAGCTGCAGATTTGTTACTTTTGTCTGAGTTGTATCCAGCATCTGAAGGCTTCCTCGAGCTTCTACGAGATGCTGCACTAACCTTTGACTTAGTACTTCCAGCTGATGCCTTGGACTTAGTACTTCCAGCTGATCTTGAATTCAACTTAGAGGGACTGCGACTGGCTGTCAGGTGATTTGTTGATTGTTTACTAATTTTACTAATTGCTGATTTGTTACCTTTGGCGTCATCATCAGAGTTATCAGAATATTCTTCATCACTTTTGTCTCTTTTACTTTTGGTAGATAAACTTGAGGAGGCCTTAGATCTAGCTGATGCAAAACTTTTGTTTGTTGTAGTACTCTTTAATGAAGCGTTGCTCTTCTTCCTTGACGCAAAAGCTGCTGGTTTCTTTGAATCAGTATCATAATCATCATATTCATCATCATCGGACCCTTTTTTGTCTCCGGCTCTGTTGTCTTTGTCTTCATCGTAATCATAATCATCGTCATCGGAAACAAAAATATACTGACCCCTAAAAGCCATTCGCTTTTTCCCTGGTGGTGTTTTCTCCCTAGCTCCTGCAAACTTGATTGGGGTCTTATTCGAAGTTGGATTTGTTTTTGTTGCTTTTATGGCAGTTGCAACTTTTTTAGCAGGAGATGCTTTTATCTCTTTCTTCTTTTTGCCACCATTGTGAGGGGTGACATCAAGGAACTTTGGTTTTCTAGGACTTTTTTTGAAGAGCGGGGAATCATCTTTGACTTTATTCCTATTGGACACGGGGGGCTCAGATTCAGATCTTTTCTTCGCGAATAAAGCTTGTCTTTCCATAAGAGTCTGGCGTCCATTTGCATTTTTAGTTTTCAAATCTTCGCTTGAATGATATCCCTCAGAGCTGCCCGCCGAACCTTTCTTTGAGTTCTTTCGGGGAGAAAGAGGTTTTCGTTTCTTAAATCTTCGGCGGGCCGCAGTATACTCTTTGTTAGGTTGAAGTTCATCGAGACTTTTAACCTCTGTACCTCCCATAGAGGTATATATTCTCCTGGCTCCAACACCAGGTTTAAGCTTGTCATTAACATGATCAACAAAATGATCAAAATCTTTGACAACTCTAGGAGAAACTAGTAGAGTGGTTCCTTTAGTATCATACTTGTCATTCTGATCATAGATCTTTATCCACTTGGCCTCGGGCTGTTTTGATAGTTCATCCCATCGGCGTGGAGAAGACGCCTGCTTCGTTTGTTTTTTACTCATAAAACCAACTACTACGTGTAAAGGGTTGTTTAATACTGGTGGTTACTGGGTGGGTATATATGAAGGTTTAATGTTTCCTCTGTTGTCTGTATCACCTAGGTTCTATTGATTTTAACTTCCCCCCGACTCTACTCAACCGAACCATGTTTAATATTTTTACAATATATCAGACATATCAACAGGTAACCCCGTTAGCAACGTAAACACACTTGATATGATTTTTCCCCCATCTTTCGTCTGAATTTCTTAATTTAGATTTTAAAACTTTTTAATAAGATTATTTATTTATTATGAAAGCCTGTTTATAATAAAAATTAAAAAAATTAAGAATCTGAGAAAGAAACCTACTGACCAAACACGACGTAGACAGCCTAATCTAGAACTTTCTGGATTTTCCGCCAACTTTTGGATTTTCCGCCTCTTTAATTGGGTAAAACCAGTGGCATTTTATATTTGATACATTTTAAATTGTATTTACATATACAATGCAGTTACAATACATTACACAGTCGATGTTAGGAGTTATAGTTATATAGCTAACATAGCTAAAGTGACCGTCGAAAATTAATTTTGAAAAAGAAAAAATGTTGAAAATTTTAAAAATTGGATTTTGATTCATATTTTAAAAAAATTTCACCTACAGGGTGTCCCACGAAACATGACAGTTGGTAAATAGAATGTCTTCTTCTATAATTTGTTAAGTTGTTTAATACCAAAGACAATAAAAAATATTATATAGTAGTCATATTATAGTAAAATTAACTTCACAGTAAAATATACTTGTGGAAAAGATTCTTTAAACGAAATAAACTGAAAACAGTCTTTAATATCTAATACAGTGTATGGAAGACGACATTCAAAACTATTTACCAACTTTCATGTTTCGTGGGACACCCTTTAGTCCCAAGGAACCCATGGGTTCTGTCACACAATTTCAGCCACTTTGGTCCAGCTGTTTGCCCACCTATAGCTAACATAACTTTGGCAGCTGTGTGCCCACCTACATACAAATAAAAATATATGCAGAACGTTGAAACTAGTAAATATTGTCTTTAAAAGTATTCATAATTTGTTCGCATTCCCTTTAATTCGTCTCCTATTGGTCAGTTTCCATAGTATTGTTTGCAGTTTAAATAAACATTGAATTCGTCAGTCCTCTTTAGACTTCAGACATGGTTGTTTTTATTACTAAAAATCTACAAGCAACTTCCACAGAGAACCCACATTTCAGATTTATCCATTTTTAGCAAAAAAAAAAAAATATCTGATTCATTCATGATCAGACAAAGGTTTTAATGTATATTGTAATATTGTAAGATTGTTTAATTTTCTAACCTGAGATAACATTTAGAAAAGATTTATTCGGAAATTCGATACTTTTTTTTTAAATAGAAAGGTAAAAATTTAACACATTTATTTAGGAAAAATATTGAGGTTATAATGCACAGTCGAAAAAAACCTGTCTGCACTCCATCTCTTGCCTATTTTCAACCTTGCTGGAACCATTTAAGTTGTTTGTACTGGTACTTGTACTTTCAGATCCAAAACTATACAAACTGCCTCCTTGGGGTTGGAAGTCACTGTTTCTTCTACTCCCAGGGCACCAAGAGCTAGTATCATCAGATCTGAAACCAGCTTGCATCTGTCCTCTACTGGCCGAACCTAAACCTAAGGACCGAGAGAGGAATGATATGGTTGGGACAGACCCGGAGAATTGAACCGAACTTGAGTTCTGTCTCAGGGCTGAGGATTCACTTCCTCTTCGGTTCCAACTCCTAGAGGACTCAGATATCCAGGAGAAGGTTCCAGCAGGGCTCCAACCCCCTTCACTAATAGTGGAACAGCTATCGTTTCCAACACTCGGGAGACACGACACAAACTCTGAAAATACAAATTTAACACCGATTCTTTGATTTGACAATAATGTTCACGAATATTTTGATAAAATTAAAAACTCAAAAGTATTGTACCCCTTTTTTGAACATACACTTTTTGGAATAAGGAACATACAAATGACCAAAATTATGACTCGATTAAAGATCTTTGTGAGGATCAGAAACATAGAATAATAAAACGAAGAGGTGAAGCTTAGCTCACATGTACACAACCAACCTCCCTATTAATTAATTAATACAGTGGTCGGTTGTATACATCACGATATGTTTACGTATCTAACACTGTACACTTGTTTATAGAGTGATCGTATTTCTATGGGGGATTTTATGGAATTGACCAATTTTCAGATTTTTTTCTTTATTTAAATCCATGTTAAGTGTCTATCTAATTATCAATACTAATATTCAAATATCTACATAAAACCACCCCTTAGAAATACGATCACTCTAGATACAAGTGTACAGTGTTAGATACGTAAACATATCTTGATATATACAACCGACCACTCTAATAATAAATTAATGGGTAGGTCGGTTGTGTACATCTTAGATGAGCTTCACCTCTTCGTTTAATTACTCTATGGTCAGAAATATTTATAATTTATGTCAAAATGATCATAGAGAATTTTCGAAACCCGGTTTTTAAATTTTACGAAAAATGTTTCCAAAACTTACGAAGTTTACAAAAAACGAGATTTTCTGTAAAACGATATGGTTTATTTAGAGAACCTTTTCGACTAGTTCTAGCTTAATTGTGTTCTATACTGAAAGAATTGGAGGATTTTGTTATTTCAAATGAGTTACAATTCCTTAAGTTAAAGTTTCATCTTTCTAAAGTCATAAGATCATTCCAATGAGCTTTATATTTCAAATTGGGATGGCTTTTTATTCCCTAGTTATGTTATTTTCTGTCTAAATATTGTGTACTGATCTAGGATGAATCTTGATATCTTTCATTTGTTTTATACTAGAAGCATTTTATTTTCAACAAAGGAATTTAGTAATTGCCACAAACTCAAATTCAGAGATTAAAATATCTTTGGTTTATGACATATTGGGCTAAAACCAAGTTAAAACGATTTGGGGTTAGAAAATCAGGATGTGTGGCAAAGATTCAACTCCTTTCAATCAGGATGCTTTTTGTATCTAACATTTAACATAAATAGTATTTTCGATTATTGCGGGTCCCAAACTTTAAAAATTAGGCGAACCCTCAAATTAGAAATTAGGATCTTGAAATTGCAAGCGACTGCTCAGAGTAGGAAATCTTTAGAATAATCAATGAAGATTCGTCCAACAATAAAATACTTTGAACTTAGTTCTAGAAACCCTTTGAATTTGATATATCAAAGTTTATCTATGATTTTCATTTATCAATTTTTATATACATGAATATACATTTTTGTGGAAAATGTGTTAAATTAAAAAAAGATCAATTAAAAAATATACTTTTGAAGATTTTGATAATAAAATTACATAAGAACATTATAATGTACATATCTAAATCAGAATTGACCTACCAAAGAAGGGAGAAGTAATTAAATTAAATAATTTTTACCTGATCCATTAGATGTTTTGCTCATTATATATTTACAAAAGAAGAATATTGTGAATCATCTGTCCGAAAAATGAAAATGAGAAATAAATAGTTGATCAGGAGACCATAGTCTTAGTTTATACTCCATAGGATTATAAGGAGAGATGTTTACAGAAGGAGAGCCTGAGGAAGACTGATGACTTTTATCCTCGGCGCCAGATATTTTATTCATTCTGATCTTATCTTCTGTTTCAGGCATAGTTGGAGAATTGCGGGATTATTTCCAGATGGGAGAGAAGGGGAACAGATGGGCAGGTTAGAACTTTTCTTCCAAGTTCACTCGAAGGTTTGGAGATATTAGATTTTCTATCTAGTTCTACATGTAATGCTTAGGTTTCTATTTTAGTTCTACATGAAATCTTTAGTTTTCTATTTGATTCTTGTTTTGATTCTACAAAATTCTAGTTTAAGTCCTAAGGTTTAATATAGTTCTAGTTTTTATTCTACACAGTTCTCGTTTTAAGCTTTAGTTTTCTATCTATAGTTCAAGTTTTATTTGTATCTAGTTCTAGTTTCAATCTTAAGATTTATATCTAGTTCTAGTTTTATAATTCTACATAATTCTAGTTTAAATCTATTGTTTTCTATCTAGTTCTCGTTTCAATCTTAAGATTTATATCTAGTTCTAGTTTTGATTCCACATAATTTTAGTTTTAATCTTAAGTTTTACTCTAATTTAAATTTACATAATTCTAGTTTTAATCTTAAGTTTTATAACCTTAATTCTTGTTTTAATTCTAAATATTTCTAGTAAATGGATTTGTTTTCTACTTCTAGTTTTAAGTTTTAGTTTTAAATCTAGTTCTATTTTTTTTAAGCATTAGTTTTATTATAAGTTCTAGATTTTATTTTTATATATCTAATTTTATATTTAGATTTTAGTTTTATTTCTATTTCTTGCTGTTTCAGCAGAAAATGAAAATCAGGCACAAATTATTTTTTAACAAAATGAGAACGAAGTCGAATCTATTTAATCCAATTGAAATCACAATGCAAAATCATAAATAAAGGTGCAGTCCTTGGTGCATGAGGAAGTAAGAAAATGTCAAGGAAGAAGAAAGGAGAGAAACTCATAACGCAGCTAGAGTACCAGAGATGGGGGGGGAGGGGAGGGGCGGGGTATCCCAAGTTTCTGGGAATTCAACGTATAAAAATCCAGAATTCTCTGTTTGCAATTCAGGATATTTTCAAATCATCGGTTTCATCTCTGTTTCTCTAGTATAAATTGGTTCTCTCCTCTAGCATACACTGGTTCTCTCCTCTAGCATACACTGGTTCTCTACTCTAGTATACACTGGTACTCTACTCTAGGATGTACACTGGTCCTCTACTTTAGTATACACTGGTTCTCTACTCTAATGTATACACAGGTTCTCTACTCTAGTATACACTGGTTCTCTACTCTAGGATATACACTGGTTCTCTACTCTAGGATGTAAACTGGTTCTCTGCTCTAGTATACACTGGTTCTCTACTCTAGGATATACACTGGTTCTCTACTCTAGGATGTAAACTGGTTCTCTGCTCTAGTATACACCGGTTCTCTACTCTAGCATACACTGGTTCTCTGCTCTAGGATATACACTGTTTCTCTACTCTAGGATGTACACTGGTTCTCTGCTCTAGTATACACTGGTTCTCTGCTCTATTATACACTGGTTCTCTACTCTAATATATATACTGGTTCTCTACTCTATTATATACATTGATTCTCTACTCTAGGATATACACTGGTCTCTACTCTATTACATTGGTTCTCCACTCGAGTATACACTGGTTCTCTTACTCTATTATACACTGGTTCTCTACTCTAGTATACACTGGTTCTCCACTCTAGTATACACTGGTTCTCTACTCTAGTATACACTGGTTCTCCACTCTAGTATACACTGGTTCTCCACTCTAGTATACACTGGTTCTCCACTCTAGTATATACATTGGTTCTCTACTCTAGGGTAGACTGGTTCTCTACTCTAATATATACATTGGATCTCCACTCTAGTATACACTGGTTCTCTAATCCATAATATACACTGGTGCTCTACTCTAGTATACACTGGTTCTCTACTCTAATTTATACACAGGTTCTCTACTCTATTATACACTGGTTCTCTACTCTAGTATATACATTGGTTCTCTACTCTAGTATACACTGGTTCTCTACTCTAGTATATACATTGGTTCTCTACTCTAGTACACACTGGTTCTCTACTCTACTATACACTGGTTCTCTACTCTAGTAAATACATTGGTTCTCTACTCTAGTATACACTGGTTCTCTACTCTAATATATACATTGGTTCTCCACTTTAGTATACACTGGTTCTCTACTCTACTATATACTGGCTCTCTAATCCAGAATATACACTGGTTCTCCAAACTAGTATACACTAGTTAGTATATACATTGGTTCTCTACTCTAATATATACATTGGTTCTCCACTCTAGTATACACTGGTTCTCTACTCTACTATACACTGGTTCTCTACTCTAGTATATACACTGGTTCTCTACTCTAGTATACACTGGTTCTCCACTTTAGTATCCACTTATTCTCTACTCTAGTCTGTACACTGGTTCTCTTCTCTAGTATACACTGGGTCTCTACTCTAGTATATACACTGGTTCTCTACTCTAGAATACACTGGTTCTCTACTCTAGTATATACACTGGTTCTCTATAGTATACACTGGTTCTCTACTCTAGTATATAAACTGGGTCTCTACTCTAGTATACACTGGTTCTCTACTCTAGTACGTATCCACTTATTCTCTACTCTAGTATACACTGGTTCTCTACTCTACTATACACTGGTTCTCTACTCTAGTATACACTGGTTCTAGGGTTGGTAGCAACTCACAATGCTATTAAAAGGCCGGAACGTGAGTAGTGACAAACAAAATCTGAAACACGACGTAACTAAAAAAATACAATACGCAATTAAAATTTTCATATTGTTAAAAGTTCTTGTGAAATCTTTGAAATTCGGCAGAAAAATCGTTTGTTTTTGAAAATTTGCCCGCGCAAAAAAAGCTTGCTTTTAAGAAAAATCCTAATATGCTGACATCATAACATGTGACATACAAGATATGTCAAAAAATGTCTTTAAATTGTTATGATTGCAGCTTTTGTAACTAAGGGACAGAAATTTGTTTGTAGAAATTCAAAAAACGTTCATCGCTTATTTAGAGCAAAAACACGTAATTGAACCTCGTAGACCTTGAACTAATTGAAGAAAACGATTTGAGGGTTCAATTGGATGTCTAGCCTTGAATATAGTTTTTTAATAATCATAAAAGTTGGCAAGGAAAACCTCACTTTCATGATTGAAGGACATAATGTATGCAAGTAAAAAGCTGACTAAATTCCGTACAGTCGTCTCTTAAAGTCTCGTTTAATGTTGGATCTGTAAGTTCATATTATATGAAAGTATTGGTTTTTATTGCTCATTACTTGTTTATAAGATTATAGAAAGAAATCTTAAAAATTCATCAGGTTTTCCTGCCTTTAATCTAGGACACATTTTCGACACGAGTTAATAACACATATGCTTCAATTGCGTTATATTTTTATGTTAGGTCATAAAATTCTTTGAATAGTGCATACAGTGCAATCTCAGATTATGTATACTTTATAGAGCATTACCATATATCGACTGTAAAGTAAATGTAAAAATAAAGATGCCTTTAGAAGCATCTTTAAGTGTGTTACTGAAAGTGAACTCATATTTGTGGTCCCTGAAAGTGTACTCATTGTTGTGGTTCCTGGTAGTAAACCCATATTTGTGGCTCTTGGTGGTAAACCAATACTTGTGGTTCCTGGAAGAGAACCCAAAAGTTGTGGTTCCTGGAAATAAACCTAAAATTTTTTTTTTCCTGGAAGTGAACCCATAGTTTTAGTTCCTGGAAGTGAACACATATTTGCAGTTCCTGGAAGAAGCCCATAAGTGTGGTTTCTGGAAGTGAACACATAGTTGAAGTGGTTACTGGATGTGTACCCATATAGTTGTTGTTACTGGTATTGAACCCATTGTTTTGGTTCCTGAAATATCAACGCATATTTGCAGCTAAAGAAAGTAAATACATAGTTTTGGTTCCTGGAAGTGTACCCATTGTTGTGATTCCTGGAAATTTACCCATTGTTGTGGTTCCTAGAAATTTACTTATTGTTGTGGTTCCTGGAAGTGTACACATTGTTGTGGTTCCTGGAAGTAACCCATAGTTGTGTTCCTGGAAGTGTACCATCATTGTGGTTCCTGGAAGTAACCCATAGTTGTGGTTCATGGAAGTGTTCCCATAGTTGTTGTTCCTGAAAGTGAACATATAGTTCTTGTTCCTGGAAGTTTACCCATTGTTGTGGTTCCTGGAAGTGTACACATTGTTGTGGTTCCTGGAAGTAACCCATAGTTGTGGTTCCTGGAAGTAACCCATAGTTGTGGTTCCTGGAAGTAACCCATAATGGTGGTTCCTGACAGTGAACCCATTGCTGTGGTTCCAGCAAGTTAATCCATATAGTTGTGGTTCCTAAATGTAGTTCCTGAAAGTGAACACTGCATAGTTGCAGTTCCCGGAAGTAAACTCCTATATGCATGGTTCCTGTAAATACATTAGCAAAACAACATGCTGGATAATGTACAATCATATACAAAGTACATTTCATAACAAAATTTATTTTTGAAACCATGTCAAAATCAAGTTTGGTTTGAAGGCACGCTCCAGTCTCCACTCATAAGCTTTTGCAATTTTAAGACGTTTTAAAAATTCAATCCAGAAATATCCAGTTCATGGATTCATCTATTACAGTATACATAAACTAGTATTTTAAATGCTATTTTTCACGTACAATCCTGAATTCTTGGGGATATTCCACTATGCAAACCTGAATTCAACTCTCAAACTGCGTTTCACAAGAAAATGTTTTAAAACTTAAATTTCTTTTAAATATTTAGATAATCTAAGAGTTAAAAGTTTTAAACATATGAACGAAGAAAATTTAAATGGGTTGGGATTAAAAATACATTTTAATTTTGTCTACGTCAAAACAGAAACAGGTTATAGCGATACTTTTACTCAGGGTTGCAGGGTAAAACTGGCCCCTTTCCGTTAGATTTTTTTATTAAAGAATTTTTACATGATATACAAGAATATAG